CTCCCCTCCCCTTCCCTTCCCTTCTTCCTTCCCTCCTCCCTCCCTTTTCCTCCCTTCCTCCCTCAATCCCTTCCATCCCCTCCCTCGTCCTCTCCCCCCAGCCCAGCCGATGCTCCGTACCCCCCTTAACAGCAGGCACAGCAGGTGAACGCGCTGGAGATCACCCCTGACCGGAGCATGATCGCGGCCGCAGGTGAGCGCCGGTGCCCCAGGTGAGCGCCGGTGCTCCAGGTGAGCGCTGGTGCCGCGCGGTGCTCGGGGCTCAGTGCCGGCGCTCAGCCGCTGCCCGCTGCCCGCAGGGTACCAGCACATCCGCATGTACGACCTCAACTCCAACAACCCCAACCCCGTCATCAACTACGACGGCGTGAGCAAGAACATCACCTCGGTGGGCTTCCACGAGGATGGCCGCTGGATGTACACGGGCGGGGAGGACTGCATGGCCCGCATCTGGGACCTCAGGTGGGCACCGGGGGCTTTCCCCGTCCTGCGGGGCCGAGCTCCCGGCCCTGAGCACCCCTCCCTCGCTCTGTCCCAGGTCCCGGAACCTCCAGTGCCAGCGCATTTTCCAGGTGAACGCTCCCATCAACTGCGTCTGCCTGCACCCCAACCAGGTGAGGAAGCTGCCTCTGCTGGGGAACGGAGCTTAAAGCTCACCCTGTTCCGCTCCTCACCGTGCCCTGCTTGCTCCAAGCCTGATCCAGCCAGGCTTTGGGCACTTCCAGGGATCCAGGGGCAGCCACAGCTTCTCTGGGTAAACCTGAGGGGCTGCAGAGCTGTGTCCCAGCAGAAGATGGGCTACAACAGAACATGGCTCGGGGGCTTCACACCATGTGTTTGTGCTGATGACCTGGTGGCTGTTGCAAAGGGACAGCACAGGGGCTGCGCTGAGCTCATCCCATGGGAGAAAACACCCTTGGAGCGAGCTCTGCCCCCAAACATCACTGAGGATGTGATGGGAGCAAAGCTGGAGGAGTGGGGGCAGCTGAGGGTGGCACCACTGCCAAGGAGAAGCATCCTGGGGCCTTCAGCTGTGATTCCTTCCAGGTCGGGTTTGGTTGAAGTTCAGTGGGTTCAGCAGCTGTTGCTGAGCAGAGGGAGAATGGGGGCTATTGAAGAGGCAGAAGGGAGCAGGAGCAAGGAAATCAGTAGGGATCAATCACTGCCAATGGCCAGGCTGGGCTGGGCTGTGGTTTTGCCTGCAAACCTCTGTAAAATCCCAAGTAATGGAAATGTTCCCTTGCATTTCATTTGGCAAAGGTTTAATTCCGCAAATCAGGAATTTCAGACTAAGTTTGAGATCGGTTATTTGCTCTTGTAGTGTCAGTGTTGTGAGAGTGTGTTACGTTAAATGAATATTGCTGAACATAGGTCTTAGATGGGAAGTAATCCCTGACCAAGATGCTGCTGAGGTGCAGAGTGTTGCTTTGTGAGCAGAAGGTGGTTAATTAGACCAAAGGTGGCAGCTTTTGTTTGGACAGTTCTGTGGCTCTGCAGTTCCCTCTGATGCTGATCCAGTTATCCAGAGATTCCTCACGGCCTGAGTAAAGCCATGAAAACTTTGGTCTCAGCATTTACACCTGCTGAGAGGGGGCTGAGGAGCCCAGGAGAGGCTTTGGTGCAGTCAGATAAATGCATTGAGTGGTGTTTGTCTCCTCAGAACCAGCCTCTGCTCCCAGGGACAGGGTTAGCTGTGCTTGATGACCTGATCTCCTCCAGGGATTCTGCTAAAATTGTGGACAGCGCAGGGCTGTCGATAAAGGCCTGGTTTTAGCAGAGACATTCCAGCATTGTCTTCTGCTCTGGGCATGGGATCAGAGCCAGGACTCCTGTCCTTGGCTCTTGTCCTTCCCCTGAGAAGGGGAGGGAGAGAGGAAAACCCACTTCAGGTTGTGTTTTTCAGGTATCTGCACCCTTGAGTGCTTCAGCTGTTCGGTGGCCAACCTGCCCCTTAACGCTGCCTCAGACGTGCTGAAAGCCTCTTGGCTGCTGTGGATGTCGTTTGGAGCTGTAGCTGTGCCACAGCCCTGGAACTGGGACAGCTCTGGTTGCTCTGGGGTTTAGGAAATCAGCAAACCCTTCTGGGCAGGGAAACAGCCTTTTGCAGAGCGTCAGGACTCGGCTGGGACAGCCAGGGTGTGAAACAGTCCTGAGCTGGGGAGGGAGGAGGCAGGACGGGACCCCGAGCAGGGCTCCAGTGGCAGTGTGTCCCTGCAGGCCGAGCTGATCGTGGGTGACCAGAGCGGGGCCATCCACATCTGGGACCTGAAGACCGACCACAACGAGCAGCTCATCCCCGAGCCCGAGGTGTCGGTGAACTCGGTGCACATCGACCCCGACGCCAGTTACATGGCAGCCGTGAACAGCTCGGTGAGCTCGGCCGCGCCGCGAGGGGAGCCGGGCTGGGGCTGGCCGGCCGTCCCCCAGCCTGGACACGGATCCTGCCCTGCCTCTGCAGGGAAGCTGCTACGTGTGGAACCTGACGGGCGGCATCGGCGAGGAGGTGACGCAGCTGATCCCCAAAACCAAGATCCCGGCGCACAACCGCTACGCGCTGCAGTGCAAGTTCAGCCCCGACTCCACGTGAGTGTGCAGCTCCTCGCCTCCCTCCCAGGGCAAACACGGGCAGCTAGGGGCCAGCTGTGCCTCCAGCTGTGCCTCCAGCTGTGCCTCTAGAGGTGCAGGTGTAGGAGATCTGATTGCAGCAGGGGCAGGTCTCCAGGCTGTCACTGGCCCTGGCCCAGCTCTGTGGTAACGAGAGGCCCCACAGGGGACAGTGACTGATGAGGTGGCCCTCACACATCTCCTTGCAGGCTCTTGGCCACCTGTTCTGCAGATCAGACGTGCAAGATCTGGAGGACTTCAAACTTCTCTCTGATGACGGAGCTGAGCATTAAGAGCAACAACCCTGGGGAGACGTCCCGGGGCTGGATGTGGGACTGCGCCTTCTCCGGGGACTCCCAGTACATCGTCACAGGTGAGGCACCCCCTGGGCTGTGCCAGGCGGCTGCAGCTGCCAGGCAGGACCAGTTACCCTGGCTGGGACATTGCCAGAGCCTGGGGCACAGCGGCTGGGAGGTGGGAGCACCCAGTTCTGCTGGCTGGAGCATTTTGTGCTGCTGCACTGGGGCAGCTGTTTGAGCTGGAGAGGAGATCTGCAGCTGTGCTGTTCATCTCAGAGTTCACAGCGTGTTGATCCCTTAAACACACCTGTGGGAACGTCCACACTCACTGCTCTCCAAAAGAATTAAAGCAGATTTAAAGAGAAATGCACTGAGCTGTTGTGCCTTGCTGGTCATCACCAGCCCTAAGGATAGCTGAATGAAGCAAGAGGAAAATATTTCTTATAATAATAGTAAAAAAGAAACTTAAAAGGTAATACATAACCCACTCTTCACTCTCTGTTCCAGCCTCCTCTGATAACCTGGCCAGGCTGTGGTGTGTGGAGACGGGAGAGATCAAGAGGGAATACAGTGGCCACCAGAAAGCCGTGGTCTGCCTGGCCTTCAATGACAGCGTGTTGGGATAACGGGCACGTGTGGCAAGAACAGGACCTCTGCTTGTTTCCCCTGGCCTTGGCAGACCCTCTCCAGAGCCTGGGACGCGCACTGTACCCATCCCCTGCCGCATGGACAGGGCTGGGGCTCTCCCAGGGGCAGCTGCAGCTGCCTGGGGTGAGACCAGGCTTCAGCTCCAGGCAGGACATTGCTGAAACGTGTGTGGCCTCGGAGGGAGGGAATGGGAGAGGGAGGCATGATCCCACTGCACAGCTGCAGGAATTCCCCAGGGCATCGGCTGCTCACAGCTTGGGATGTTCTTGTACCCCACAGTGGGAGGAAAATAAAAGTCATCCTCTGCAAGTGATGGGAGAGGCTGAGTAAAGAAGAAGAGAAGCTCTTGGTTTGCAATCCCTTTATTCAAAATGTTTCACAGAGTGACTTGGAGAGCTGCTCTCCTAAAGCCAACCACCCCCAGCTGTAACAACAACCAGCTTGTGTTGGACAGAGCCTGGAGCCCCAAAACTCCAGCTGCTCCCCAGGACTCCTCCAGGCCTGGGTCTCGTAATTCCTACGGAGGAGGTGCAGCCCTGGGGCAGAGCTGCAGTGTCTGTGCTGACAGTGCTGAGCAGAGGCCTCCTGTTTCTCTAAACTCTCCTGACCTGCAGCATGCAATCAGCAGGAAGCTCTGCGGATGTTGTAGGTGCTCCCTCGTGGAAGTCAGAGGTTTTCAGGAATCCAGTTCAAGTATGAGGGCAGAGAGGGTGGCCGTGGCTGCAGCACTTACTCGGGCAGGTAATAGAAGCAGATGGAGACACAGATGTTGCTGGGGAAGCAGATGTCGATGCACAGGTAGATGAGGCGCTGCCTCCCCGGCCCTGCCAACGAGCAAGGACAGCAGTGAGAGCAGTGCTTTGGTCCTGCAGTGACAGAGTCCCCAGGGATGCTCTGGTCCTGCAGTGACAGAGTCCCCAGGGATGCTCTGGTCCTGCAGTGACAGAGTCCCCAGGGATGCTCTGGTCCTGCAGTGACAGAGTCCACAGGGAGCTGAGCAAGGGGAAAGCCTCAGGGAATGACCTTTCTTATTAAAGCTGGAGTGAGACACAGCAGGCTGACAGATCAGCAGGCTGCTTTGGCTGAGGATGAAGGGGACAGGGATTAAGCAGTGATGTCTCAGGGCACAGCTGTGTGTGCTGGCTGTGCTGTGCTGCTGGGGCAGCTCAGAGCCCATCCCAGTGCCACAGCTGAGGACGGGGTGGGTACGAGGCAGCACTTGGGGATGGTGAACACACACACAACGGTCTGATTTTGCACTAGAGGTCACCCATCGCTGTCCTGGGCCTTGGCAGCCCATGCTGGGATACATCAGCTGTTGTGCAGGAGAGCCTGATCCTCTTAGAGGTGCTAGAAAAGCTCTTGCTTCCCCTGCCAAGGGCACTGCCCCACTTACCCTGGCCTCTCCGCACCCAGAAGATGGATGTGTGCTCACACAGGGCCTGCACGGCCTCCCCCAGGCCCCCGGGCTCCACCTGCTCCCCTGCCACAATGCCCAGGAACTCCTGGTAGAACTTGGTCTGGTTGTGGTGCTGTAGCAGCTGCTCAGCCTGAAAGAAATGTCCCGGTTGGTTCCTCCCAAGGCACTTTGGCCCTCCAGCCCCACAGCCCTGCTCTGGCTCCCAGGGCAGCTCAGGACTGCTCTGAACCCCAGCAGCTTTCTCCTGTCCCAGGCTGAGGCTGCCAGATCCCATTTTCTGCCTGTGGGCTGCTGGCAACCCCAGCACTACCAAGTTTTGCCATTTAGGAGCCTCAGGGCTGGGCAGGTGCTTTCCTCTCCCTGCATCCCTTTTGGGAGCCTGTGTTCCTACACTTGTCTGGGAGTGAGGACCAAGGAGCCCCCAGGAGTCACTGAGGAAATGGATAGCAGATGGCAAATGCACAATAAAATGGGGCTTTCTGTCTTCTGGAAATGGAATCTGCTCCTGCCCAGGCATCCACTGACATTTTGTTCTGAGGGTCTGTCCACATGATTGCCTCCAACTTTCTTCCCTGGGAGTTGGTAACAAACCCCCTTTGTTTTTCCTCCCTCTGATTTTTGAGCAGGTAACAGAATCCAGTGGGAGCCCTGCTGTTCCCCTGCATGGGCCACATCCTCCTGCCCCAGCCTGCAGCTCAGCTGCTTCCCACAGGAGCCAGGGAATGGATAAAGCCAGGAGCTGCTGCTCAGAGCCCAGCCTGGGGGCACAGCAATGAATCCCTCAGAGCAGGGGCTGCCACTGCTCCTCGGGGCTGGAGAGACACCCTGCAAATCCACACAGGGCAGAACGTTCAGCGAGCCTGTGCAAAGCTCAGTCCATCCCCAGATATCCCGGCAGTGCTGCAGCAGCTGCTCACGGGGTGCTCAGAGGTGTTGAGAGCTGTCTGCAGGTCCCAGGGCTCCATCCTCCTCAGGTAGCAGGCTCGCTGCTCCAGCGGCTTGTAGCACACGTAGCCCTGTGGACAGACGTGTCCCTTGGAGCGGGCAGCACACAGCCACCCCGGCCCAGGAACCCCTGGAATGCACATTCTCCTTTCCCCTGCTCTGTGTTCCATGCCTAAAGGTGCAGAGGAAGGCAGCAAACAGGAGCTGAGGAGGCAGGGATGCCCCGGCACTCACGTTCCTGCTGTCGTACAGCACCGCGGCGCTCAGGTTGCTCTGCGAGGTGACGTGGTAGGTGACGGTGCTCCTGGCCTTGTCCACCACGGCTGTCTGGTTCCTCAGCAGGTGCTGCTGGCCCTGGAGCGTCACTCGGCCGAGCTGGGAGCCAGCCTGGGCACGAGGAGTGGGAGGGCAGCACCCAGCATCAGCTGCTCAGTGCTTGTGTGCAGCTTCTCCCACCACCATCCCCTGTGCTGGGCCCTGCTCCTTGGCTGCTTCAAGGATTTGAGGGGAGAGGAGGAGGCTCTGACCCACGACTCCATCCTCACCCCAGCGCCCCAGAGGCACCCAAGGCACCAGGTGCTGGAGGAAAGGGCCAGGAGATTCTGCCACAGCCTCCCTGCCCCGTCTGTGCCTTCCTGCATTTGTCCAGCCAAACTCAGCCCAGACCTCAGCCCATCCATCCCTCCTGGAGCTGCTTCCCACACAGCTCAGGGCTGCAGGCAGCAGGAGGCTTCCTGCCCACATCAGGATCCCTTACCTGGGCAGAGCTGGGGGAGAAGCTGAGAACCCCCAGGACACTGATGCCAACAGCTGCAAAAAACAACAAGGCAACGGACGAGATGATCCAGAAGGTCCTGGAGGGAGCTGGGAACAGCACTGTGGCCCTCCTGTCCTGGGAGCCAGGGCAAAAGAAGGAGGAGCAGGAGTTAAAATTGACCCTTCTGCCAATTCTTCTTCATCAAACGTGTTCCCAGCTCATGGCACAAATGCTTGTGCAAACTGGTTGGAATGCAGAGCTGCCAAAACATTGTAGCACCTGGAATAATGAAGCCTTTATCCCACAGCACTGGAATTCCAGATCCAGCATCCTGGTAACCAGCACTGCCACAGCCAGGAAAGCTGCAAAGCCCCCAGGGCAGGGCTGGAGCAGCAGCTTTCCAAACACAAGGAACAACAAATTCAATTATTTTGATTTACAGCAGAAATCCCCAGTGGGACCATCAGCATTGGAATCAGATCCCGTGTGGAGTGACCCTGCTTCTGTTCCCCTCCCTGTGCTTGGCTGTGCTGGATTTTCTTGCTAAATTGTTCTCCATGAGACCAAGGAAAAGAGCTTGGCAGTGCTGTGACATTTCTATTGGCTCTATTAATTTACTTTAATTCTTACATTGAAGCAATTAAATTTAGCTTCATGGCACATAACAGGATTTTTACAAAGCAGAAAATGTGCTTTCAATAATCTCAAACACAGCCACATTTAAAAAGTAACCTGTTTCTCAGTTTTCTGAAGGACAGAAAAATCCAATCCACCCCAGGATTAAATGTGCTCCAGCTGCACAAGGATGGGCTCATCCAGCCTTGGGACAGTTGTGGATCTTTATTGGAAACATAATAAAGGCACGGTCTGTGATAGAATCACGGGATCCTGGAATGGTTTGGGTTGGAAGGGACCCTAAAGCCCAACCAGTCCCACCCCCTGCCATGAGCAAGGACACATTCCACATCCCAGGCTGCTCCCAGCCCTGTCCAGCCTGGCCTTGGGCACTGCCAGGGATCCAGGGGCAGCCCCAGCTGCTCTGGGCACCCTGTGCCAGGGCCTGCCCACCCTCCCAGCCAGGAATTCCTGCCCAATATCCCACCTAACCCTGCCCTCTGGCACTGGGAAGCCATTCCCTGTGTCCTGTCACACCCTTGGCCAAAGTCAAGTCCAAGGAGGAAGGACAGAGCCAGCCTTTGCCCAGGAGCTGCTGTAACAGGGAATACTCACTGCAGGAATGGGAATACTCACTGCAGGAAACAGGAATACTGCAGGAATGGGAATATTCACTGCAGGAATAGGAATACTCACTGCAGGAACGGGAATACTCACTGCAGGAACAGGAGGAACAGGAATATTCACTGCAGGAATGGGAATACTCACTGCAGGAACAGGAATACTCACTGCAGGAATGGGAATACTCACTGCAGGAACGGGAATACTGCAGGAACGGGAATACTCACTGCAGGAATGGGAATACTCACTGCAGGAATGGGAATACTCACTGCAGGAACAGGAGGAACAGGAATATTCACTGCAGGAATGGGAATACTCACTGCAGGAACGGGAATATTCACTGCAGGAATGGGAATACACTCACTGCAGGAATGGGAATACTCACTGCAGGAATGGGAATACTGCAGGAACAGGAATACTCACTGCAGGGGCAGCATGGCTGGCACCGTCCCCTCCGTCCATCCTCCACCTCAGACGAGGACCTGGCTGCTGCTGCTTTGCCTCCTGCCCACGCACAGACTGGGCATGATCCCGGCTCCAGGCACAGCTGGGGAAGCTGAACGTGTGTCTGTGGGACATAAATACCCGTCCCTCGCAGCCAAAGGGCTCTGCAGGAAGGGGAAACCTGAGGCTGGAGCGGGAGCTGAGCGCTGCTGTCAGTGCCCAGAGCGGCTCTTCCTGCCCAGCCCCAGGACGGGCAGCAGCCACAATCGGGGTCTTTGTGTGCCCTCGGGGCTGGCACGGCCCAACACGGGCCCAGGTGAGGCTCTTTGAGAGATCAAATGACCAGGGGACAGTGGCAGCCTGCCCTTGTGGCAGCGGCAATTCCCACATTTCAACGGGACCCCGGTGCTGCCGGAGCTCCGTGGGCTGGAGCCAGGTGTTGATCCCGCTGTCCCGAGCCTGTGCCACCCTGGGAGGAAAAGGGAAAGTGCCACAGAGGCACCACCACAGCCTGTGCTGCACTGACACCCGTGTCCTGTCATGAGAAACTCCCTGTGGCTGCAGCGTTCTCTGAGCATCCCTGAGCAGTCCAGGAGCCCCCAAAATGTCCCAAACCTGCCAGTCAGAACAAAGGTGTGGAATCAGAAAAAGCTAAGAATTCCTTCATGTGATGTCTGTCCAGGGAAAAGGCAGGTTTTGGACATTTTCCTATCCCAAGGCTGAACAAACTGGCTGAAGGGAGCCCACAAGAAAGAAGGAGAGGGACTTTGGCCAAGGGCATGGGCAGGACCAAGGGGAACAGCTTCAGTGCCAAAGGGTTGGATTAGATGTTGGAAACAAACAGCTGGGGCTGTCCCTGGATCCCTGGCAGCGCCCAAGGCCAGGCTGGACAGGGCTGGGAGCACCTGGGACAGTGAAAGGTGTCCCTGCCATGGCAGGGCTGGGGCTGGGTGGGATTTAGGGTCCTCCCAAACTGCATCCCTGACTCCCAGGAGTCCCAATGCAGGCTCACCAAAGCTCACGGAGACGAGACCACAAAATGAGGCAACGCTGGGGAGAGCAGGTTTGAGAGTTTAATGGGAATTCAAGTAGAGGATTAAGAACTGTTTGGAAGTCAGAACAGAGTTTTGAAGCACGACTGACACTGCCACCAGCACATTCCAGCATCCCTGAGCCCAGGCAATGGCTCCCCTGGCAGCGAGAGCCCTCAGCAGGGACAGAGCTCCCTGAGGGATGCTGGACTCTCTCTTCTGGCCTTTTCCTGACACATCCTGACACAAAAAGCACCAGAGACTGAATCCAAACCCGCACTGTTACATGACACGACCTGCAGCGAGTCCATCACGTCCATCTCCATGTTACCCAGATCAAGGGCAAGTTCTGCCCCTGGGACTCTGCAGTCCTTCCTCTGGAGACAGGAACAGGGAAAAGATTATCCACATTCCTTCCACAACTCCAAATTACAAACAAACAGCCTTTCAGAGGTTCAGCCAGACCCTCTGCACTGCAGGGTTATTGCTGTACAAACAAGGTGACGAGTTACCAGGCAGGAAATGGCATCAGCACTGCCCGAGCTCCTCAGCTGGACAGGAAGGAAAACCAGTGCTTAAATTGAACTGTAGATACTGGAATCTATGAAATAAAAGCGTGTTATTTGCATATATAATTTTCAATTACTTCTGTAATGCAAAAGCTCTCACTGTGGGATTTGGGCAGCACAAAAACCACCCTGTGGTGAGCCCCTCATTGCCCAATCCCACCTGGAGATCAAATGGAATCATCCCTGAGCAAGCCAGCACTCCTCCTCACCACCCACCGTGCCTGGCCCCCGCCGGCACACGTGGAAGATCTGAACCTCAGGGATGGGAAGGAAGCACGAGCTATTGTCACACACAGCCAGGACCCAACAACTGTCCTGGGCACTACATCCATCCATGGACTGAGCAGGAATCGGGACTGTGCAGCTAAAGCCAAGGCAAGTGGCTCGCTGAAGCTGAGGGAAGAGTAGGAGCTTGGTATGGATTAATCCAGGGATTTCTGGGAAGCAGCAGGAATGAAGGACAGTCCTGTGTGGCTACAGACTCTCTGCATTACCAAATGCAACCGTTTAGAATTAAATCAATGAAGTACATTCCTCTCATCCTCCCTCCTGGGAAACAAGATATATTATCATAGACTCTATTTATAATTTAAATATATTCTGCTCTATCTTTATGCTCGGGGAATGCCTGTGTGTACATGCACTTTACACACACTTTACAAACCTTGGACAGACACTGTGCAGCAGCCAAGGTCTGGAATTATGTGGGATCATCCCACTCTGCATCACAAGTGCCAATGTGCAGTGGTCAAATGAAGGAGATGAATTTGTGTGACCTGACGTGGGGCTGTGTCCCTGAACATGGCCCCAGTCTGGGAAAAGGAAAAACCCCAAGGGCAAACACCAGCTCCACAAAGTGTTTCTAAACACAACCAGAGATACTGCACGTCCCAAGAGTCCCTGAACAAACCTGGCTGAGCCGTGGCCCAGCCTGGCCGGGACATGATCCTTCCCCTCAGATCCACCAGCTCCACTTCCCCAGCTCAGCCCGGAGGACGCTGCGCCGTGGAGCCCCACAAACATTGCATCCAAGCACTTGTAATTAAACCCAGCCCCAAACCCCAGCCCCGGGCAGCACCGTAATGCCCCCTTTGTTCCAAAGTGCATTTCAGAGTGAGATGTAAACAGAACCATACCGAGAGGACAGAGAGGAGACAAGCTAAGGGTTCTAACTCCGGGGAGCATCTAGTGCGTACGCTACTGCCGCGGGCCGATGGCCGGGGCCGCCGCTCGGGCCCGTTACTCCCCCAGAGCCGGGAGCAGGTCGGCGATGCTGTCAACGTAGTAGTCAGGGACCAGGCTGTGCCTGGCAGGACAGCCGCTGTCCTGGTGGCCCCGCACCTCGTCCAGCGCCGTGACCCCGGTGAGGGTGAGCAGCGTGGTGAGGCCGCAGTCGTTGCCCATCAGGATGTCCGTGTCCAGCCGGTCCCCCACCATGATGGTGCGCGCGGGGTCCACCTCGAACTCGCCGGCCACGCAGTCGAACATGAAGCGGTTGGGCTTGCCCACGATGAAGGCCTCGCGCTGCGCCGCCGTCTCCACGGCCTTCACCAGGCATCCCGTCCCTGCGGGGAACAGGCAGCAGGGATTAGGGGCACAAGGCTCTCGGTGTCCACACCAGCCAGGACAAACTCGCTCAGCACTTTGGGAACGCGACCTCAGCCTGACAGGCAGAGGGACGGGTCAGTCCCAGGACAGCTGGTGCACAAAGCCTGCCAGGAGGCTGGAATTCCATCCCACAGCGTCAAAAGGGAACTCCTATTCCAAAGTAAAGGATCAATAAGGATTCCCTCTCTTTCAGGGGTGCTGTGGAGGAAAGGCTCCGGGACGCTCAGGCTGCCTCGAAGAACCCCAGGACAGCTGGAGCTAGAGGGGGCCTCTGGAGATCATCCAGTCCAACCCCGCTACAAGGCAGGGTCACCTGGATTAGGTGACACGGGAACGTGCGTAGGCGAGATTGGAAAATCTCCAGAGACGGAGACTCCATGACCTCCCTGGGCGGCTGTTCCAGGGCTCTGCTCTCCCCACGGGAAGCTCTTCCTTAGGCCGAGGCGCAACTCCTTGCGTTTTACCAAAACACCGAGGTGTGCTGCGCCGCAGAGCTGAGCACGGAGACCCCCCCCCAGCCCCGGGACCATCCCCTCCGCCCCCCGCCGCGCGTACCGGGGATGCCGGCGCCGCCCTCGAGCGGCAGCCGGTGGTCGCGGTTGGTACCGACGAGGAGGCAGTCGGTACCGGCGCGCAGCAGGTACCGCAGCGCCTGGCACAGCTTGGCGTAGCTGAAGTGCTCGTCGAAGCCCACGAGCACGGCGCGCACGGCGGGGTCGAGCGGCGCCTGCACCCAGTCGGCGGGCGCGGGCCCGGGCAGGGCGGCGGGCCCGGGCCCGAGGTGCGGGATGCCCACGGCCTCCAGCTCGGCGGCGAGCGCGGGGCTGCCCAGCACGTAGGCGGCGGCACCGGGCGGCAGCGCCTGCCGCAGGTAGCGGGCGGCGCAGAAGGCCGAGCTGAAGATGTGCCGGGGCTCGGCGGGCGGGAAGCCGAGGCGCCGCAGCTTCTCGGTGTAGGCCGCGCGCGTCCGCCCGCTGTTGTTGGTCACGTAGCACAGCCGCTTGCCCGCCGCCGCCAGCCGGCCCAGCGCCTCCGCCGCGCCGCTCACGGCCGCCTCGCCCCGCCACAGGACGCCGTCGCAGTCGAAGAGCAGCGTGTCGGCGTTGGCGAGCACGGCCCGCGCCGCCTCGCCCTCCAGCCGCCGGCAGCGCCGCGGGCCGCCCGCCGCCATCGCGTCTGCCATGGCCGCCCCGCCGCGCCCGAGCGCCCCGCCGGCCCCATTGGCCGCGTGGCCCCGCGCGCCCGCTGCCCGCGCCTCCCCATTGGCCGCGCTCCGCACGGACCGCGTCCCCATTGGGCGGCGGTGCCGGCGGCCACGCCCACCCCGCCGGGAGCCGGCGCCCGGTGTCCCCTCCGTCCTCCCGCGCGGCGCCGCCGAGGGCGCCCGGCGCGCTGCGCTCCCATTGGCCGCTCTGCCCGAGGGCCCGCCCCCCGCGCGCCGCTATTGGCCGGGGCGCTTCGGGGCTCGTTCTGGAACGCGTTAGGCAATTCCTCGGTAACTCGTCGGTAACCGGCCCGGTTCCGCTCCGCCGGGGCTCGGGGGTCGCCGCGGGGAGCGGAGGGACCGTGCTCCGACACCGCCCGCCGTCCCCCGGAACCCCGGCACGGCGGGCGCGTTCCCCGCCGAGCCCCGTCCCGTTGTTATGACGACACGGCCGTAAAGCCGCCATCTTGCGGCGCGTTGCGACACGGGGGCCGCGATGGCAACGGGCGCGGGGCCGGCGGCGCTTACGGCAGAAGCGGCCGGGCCGGGCCAGGGCGCGGCAGCCGCGGGTTCCGCGTCCCCCGCGCCCCCCGCCGCCCTCATCGGCCTCCCGCCGCCCTTCGGCGAGCAAGGTACCGCCCTCACGGGGCCCCGGCCGGCACTGCCAGGCCTGGGGGCGGCGCGGCCCGGTGGGTGAGGGGGTCGGGCCGGTGCTGGCAGCGGGGCGGGAGGCGGCGGGGTCTCCGTGTGCCTGAGGCGGGATGGCCCCGCTCCCCTCCAGCATCCCCGGCAGCTCAGCGGGCCGGGCAGGGCGGCGGTGCTGGCTGTATCCCGGTGCCGGGAGAGGCTGTGGAGACGCTCCAGCCCGTCCGGACGCGATCCCGGGCTGGCCCTACCGGAGCAGGGCGCGGGGAACCCACCGGGCCCCGCGGTCCCGTCACCCTGGGCCCATCCCGGGCTCCCGCGGCGGCCCGGCCCGCCTGACGGCGTTTTCCCCCGCAGACGAGGATGACGTGCACAAGTGCGGGCGCTGCCAGTCGGAGTTCAGCTCGCTGCAGGAGTTCGTGCAGCACAAGCTGCAGAAGGGCTGCCAGCGCCCTCCCGACGCGCTCGCCGGACTCCTCGGCCAGGAGGGACAAAAGGTGACAGCGGCTGCTCCGAGCCGGGGCTGCAAATAATTAGGATCCAACGGTCTGTTGGGTTGGAGGGGAGGGAGCAGTGTGTTGGGACAAGCAGAACCGGCCTGCTGAAACGTGCTGTGTGCCAGCAGGTGGTTCCTGCTGTCGAGGAGTCCATAACTGTTGCTCACATCGTTGTTGAAGCATCTTCCATAGCAGAGGAGATCAGTAACGCCTCGGCCATCGTAGGTGAGCTCTGGGGTGCCTTGGCACCTGCTCCCTCATCTGTGTCCTGTTGGGGTGGCTTTGGGTTGTGGTTGGGTGGGTGACACCTCTGTGTCGCTGGGATTTGGGGCAGGCTGTTCCTGCACAGCAGCCCTGGGCCAGCTCTGCAATCCTTCCCCCACCAGGGTCATGGGATGGTTTGGGTTGGGAGGGACCTTAAAGCCCATCCAGTGCCACCCTCTGCCATGGCAGGGACACCTTCCACCGTCCCAGGTGCTCCAAGCCCTGTCCAACCTGGCCTGGGACACTTCCAGGGATCCAGGGGCAGCCCCAGCTCCTCTGGGCACCCTGTGCCAGGGTCTGCCCACCTTCACAGGGAACAATTCCTATGCAATATCTATTCTAAATCTAAAATCTACCCTCCTTCAACTTAAGTAATACAAATTAGATGTTGAACTCTATTCCAGAAGTGCCCATTTTATGCTGCCATAATGAGAAGGTTGCAAATAGTTGAGTAGCAGGTTTAAAATAACTTTTCTCCTTATTTCTGTGTGAAATGCTGGAAGAGTAGATGGTTTGTTGGCTAAAGTTCTGTCCTGTAAAAAACCCAACTGTCCCCCCACCTTTTCCCAGGCAGTGGGCACATCAAAGAGGTCATTGTAGCAGGAGACCATGTGTTTGAGAACCCGAATGGCCACGTGGATGGGGAGGTCAGTGAGGAGCAGGGCAGCCCCGAGGAGCAGGAGCAGGACATTTCCACTGAGCTGATCAAGGTCAAGCTGCAGGTGAACAAGGAAGGGCGATACGTGTGTGAGCTGTGCCAGAAGACATTTAAAACTGTGAGTATCCCCTCTGCTGGTGTGGCTTTGGGAGCCTTTTAGGCTGGCTGTAAACTAAGACACCCCAAGACTCAGTAACAGTGTGCTTTAGTGCCTGCCACACTTCCCAGAGGGAAGTTCTGCTTTCACAAGGAGCCTTGTTATCCTTTACAGCTAAAATGTAAAATCTTTAAACTACTTGGAACGTCTCTTAAAGGAAATTCTTTCCCTAGGCCAGCATCCTCAAAGCTCACATGATCACTCACAGCAGCAGGAAGGACTATGAGTGTAAACTCTGTGGGACTTCCTTTAGGACAAAGGGGTCTCTGATCCGACACCATCGGCGGCACACGGGTAAGACTTCTCCAGGATAAGAGTTCCTTGTTACTGCAGCTGTCTGTGGTTATCCATTTGCCTCCCAGTGGAATTCCTTGCTGCTTCCCTTGTTTTACTGAGCTGAGTCCATTGTGCTCCCCAGCATTTGGGGTGCTGGAAGTGGAAGGTTCTGGGATAGGCACAGTCGTGTGCTGTAGAAAGCTGAATGTGTTCTTCAGCCTGTCACACACAGCTGATCCTGGATGGATCCTGTGCTGGATTTAATATGGTTGTTTTGGTTCTTGTCATTTCCAGATGAAAGACCTTACAAATGCAAGAAATGTGGGAAAAGCTTCCGGGAATCGGGAGCTTTGACTCGGCACCTTAAATCTCTGACACCTTGCACTGAAAAAATCCGCTTCAACATGACCAAAGAAATAGTTGTCAACAAAGATGATCTGCCATCAGGTCAGTGATGCTGCCAGGACCTGCCTCCTGTCTGATAAAGCCAAACCCTCACTTTAATAGAAATTCCTTCTGGGTCAGGCTGCCCAGAGCAGCTGTGGCTGCCCCTGGATCACTGGAAGTGTCCAAGGCCAGGCTGGACAGGGCTTGGAGCAGCCTGAGATGGTGGAAAGTGTCCTTGCCCGTGGCAGGGTTGGAATTGATGGGTATTTCCAACCCAAGCCGTCCCATGATTCTTATTTATGATAAAAAGTATTCCCGTGGTCTTGAGTTTATATTTTTTATACCAAGAAAAAAGTAATTTATGGAGCGAAGCTATTACCTTGAAGCTGGGTGTGAACTCAAGAAAGTCTGAGAATCTGGTACAAAGGTGCCTTAACAGGCACCCTGTGCTCTAAGGCAGATTTTTTTAGGGCACAGGGAGTTTCTGAGGGGTGCATTTCCCCACGTGGTCCATCCCTTGCAGGATCCTGCAGCTCCAACACAGACACAGTGTCCTCGATAGCGAGCGAATCCATCGAGGGCTCCCCTGTCATCCACCTCGTGACAGATGCAAAAGGCAACGTGCTCCATGAAGTCCATGTCCAGATGCAGGAACTTCCCGTGGTGGATGCTAAACCCCTGGAGCCAGATGTGAGTGTCTGAAACACCCTCCCTGTGTTCTACACAAAGAACATTCCAGCGCGTGAGCAGAAGTGTCTCGGGTGCTGACAGTAAATCTGAGTGTGAAGGCTTTGTTGGTTTTCATGTGAGTTTGTTATTCCTTGGGTTGTGAGAGTACAGATCCACCTCATCATCTTCCTCCTCAGCCCAAGGTGTTCCCTGGTTGATCTTTGAACCCCATAGCACAGCACTGGACACCCCAGAGAGAGTGACCCTCGCAGCAGCGTTGCTGTAAAAAATTGTGGATTTGCTGTGCCAAACTTCCTCTCTGTTCCTCCAGCAGCCGCATCCTGAGGAGCTGCCCTGTGAGGGGGAAGTGAACAGTGAGAACCTGCTGAGGCAGGCCATGAGGAATTCGGGAATTGTCATTGAGAGAGTGGCTGTGGAGGAGGTGCAGAAGCCGGATGAACCTGCGGCAGCTGCTCCAGAAGAGCTGGAAAACAAAGGGGTGGAAGTAGAAGAGGAGCCATGTGGGGAGCAGTGTGCTAAACTGGAAGGAGCAGAGTCTGTATGTTTGTATTCCATCAACAGATTAATTTTTTAACCTTCCTTGTCTGTATTTGGTTGTGGGCAGCGCTGTTGTCCTCATGTGTCTCTGCTGTACCCGTGGCTTTGTGTCAGGTTTTAGGGTTATATTGTGCAGGTGTGATTTAAGGGAAATGTCACTTCACACATGTGCTGTCTCTTTTCACAACAGAGATCTCTTTTCTGTCAAAGCTGGAGTGTTTAATTGGGAATTTGCGTAGCAATCCTAGGTGGACACACCAGTACAAAAAAGAAAAAAGCTGTTTTCCCATTTTCTCTCCAGCAGACACCTGCAGAAAGGACCAACGGGTACAAACGTTATGTTTGCTTTCACTGTAATGAAGCCTTCAATGAAGCTGCTGCCCTGGAAACTCACAGCAAGGGGCACACAGGTAACGTGGTGCTGGGGCTCAGTGACCTCAGCCATGCGCTTCTGATGAGGAGAGTCTGGGAGCTGGGCCTGCTCAGTCTGGAGAAGGGAAGGCTGAGAGGGGATCCCATCAATCCATACAAATCCCTCCCAGGGGTGGCAGAGGATGGTGCCAGACTCTGTTCAGTAACAGGACGAGGAGCAGTGGCCACAAACTAAAACACAACAACTTCCACCTCGATGTGAGGAAGAAGCTCTTTCCATGAGAGAGGAAAGAGCAGAGCCCTGGTGTGGCAGAGCCCTGGAACAGCTGCCCAGGGAAGGTGTGGAGTCTCCCTGAGGAGACATCCCAAACCCACCTGGACACGTTCCTGTCACCTCCAGGTGACCCTGCCTGGGCAGGGGGCTGGACTGGATGAGCTCCAGAGGTCCCTTCCAAGCCCAGCTATTTTGGGGTTCTGTGAAAGCCCACACATGCGGTTGACAATACAATTCCTCTCCTTCTCCAGGTTTTTTTTTGTAACAATTCAGTTACACCTGTACCATCAACCACACATTTTTCTCTCCATCCCTCTAGAGTACAAACCCTTCAAGTGTGAGGAGTGTGGCAAGGAGTTCACCAAGGGCTACCTGCTGAAGAAGCACCAGGAGGTGCACGTGAACGAGCGGCGGTTCCGCTGCGGGGAGTGTGGGAAGCTCTACAAGACCATAGCCCACGTCAAGGGGCACCGGCGCGTGCACTCGGACGAGCGGCCCTACGCCTGCCCCAAGTGCGGCAAGCGCTACAAGACAAAGGTGGGCCCCCCTCAGAACCTCCACACTGGCCTCCCCAGAGCCAGCCTTTGGCAGAGGGGAGGAGGTTTTGCTCCTCAAAAGAGCAAGTGCCAGCTCGCCTGCCTCTTATAGGATGCCCAGAGAAGCTGTGGCTGCTCCATCCCTGGAAGTGTCCAAGATTGGATGGGGGCTGGAGCACCCTGGGATAGTGGAAGGTGTCCGTGCCCGTGGAAGAGGGGTGGAACAAGATGTCCCTTGAGGTTCTTTCCAATCTAAACCATCCAGTGAATCTGTGATCTGAAATTCCAGAAAGATGTTTTGGTTTAGTGGGCAAAAGAAGGACAGTCTTTGTAAAACCATCACATTTCTGAAGAAACTGTTCCTTCATAATAACGGTGTCGTGGTTCTGGCCAGGACAGGGTTAATTTTTGCAGCGGCCAGAACATTCTGGTGTGAGGGAAAGGGGTTCCTTCTGTCTGTTCTTAAGACAGGTGAATTGCTCAAGTCTTTCATGTACCCTCTGTCATCGGTAGTGTTGTTATCTTCTGTTTCTGGTAAATTGTTCTTGTCCTTGATCTTCACCTTTTGTGCCTCCAGTTCTCCCCTCCAGCCCACTGAAAGGGGAGGAGGGGAGCAAGTGTGTGGCTCATGGTTTGGAGAGTCTTGGTGAGAGCACTGCTTTGGGGAGTACCCAAAGCACCTAAACCACCCTAAACCACCACCCAAGAAAATCATCCTTGTGTCCTACAAAAGACGTCGAGTTCCACCCTGGGAGCTAAAACCCTGCGCCCATGAGCTGCCCGTGTCCTTTCTGAGCCCTTCCCTTGCCTCCCTGTGTGTGCAGAACGCCCAGCAGGTGCATTTCCGTACCCACCTGGAGGACAAGCCCTACGTGTGCCAGTTCTGCAGCCGGGGTTTCCGGGAGAAGGGCTCCCTGGTGCGCCACATCCGCCACCACACCGGAGAGAAGCCCTTCAAGTGCTACAAGTGCGGGCGCGGCTTCGCCGAGCACGGCACCCTCAACAGGCACCTCAAAACCAAAGGTGAGCAGGGCTGCCCTGAGGGGAGCCTGCTCAGGGCTTGGATTTGGGCAGGCTGCCCCTGGGCCGGGTGGGAATGGTGGTGAGGGTGGATCTAATGACCCGTATGGAAGTGGGAATGTTCTGGAAGGGTCGGAGAAAAGCTCTCACCAATAATCTGGTTTGGTTTGGTGGGATTAGTTGCACTGGACTGGCTGCTCCTTTAACTCCTAAGCAGGGATTTCCAGACTTCTTCAGCTAGCTCTGATGGTGTTGTTCCAAAGGAATAATACAAGTTTATTGGAGGAAAAAAGGACTTTTGTAGGAGATACTGAGATGTATCAACAGAAAAGATCAGTGATTTAAAATGTACCCAAATTCTTCCTGTGTGTTCTTCACACGTGGCTTGGAACCCTGAGTGGTTTTACCACCTGAATTTACCCATGTGGTGTTTGGAATTGCACTGGAGAGCTGCTCTGCTCCTGGTGTCACATGGGCTCTTCTGGGCTGCTCTTTGTCCTGGTGGGCCCAGAGCCCCTCAAGTGACACTGGTCACTCATCCATGGCATCCCCTTGCTGGTGCTGCATAGCATCTTCTACCTACAATTAGAGACGGTCACAAAAAACGATGTTTTTCTGGAATTCCATGCAGGTGGCTGCCTCCTTGCTATGAAAGAGGTGGAAGAAGTGGTAGTGTCAGAGGAGAGTCAGTCTGCTGACAACTTGGCAGCCACGGTCCTTTCGGAAGATCCACACACGGTTCTGGTGGAGTTCTCCTCGGTGGTGGCAGACACCCAGGAGTACATCATCGAGGTGAGAGGGGGCAGCCAGCCTGCTCATTGGGAATTTAGCACAAGGTTTGGTCAGGAAAAGCTCTGCAGTTGTTCATGTTCCTGCTCCAGGCTTTTGGGAGAGGGTAAAACAGGCTCTGTCCTACCTGCATGGCCCCAGGAGTCAGTGGGATTAGCCTTGTTTGGAAGGAAAGCACTCGGAGCTTCCCCACCCTCCCAAAGTGCTGTGGGTGCCAGGAAAAGGAGAAGGGGAGACCAACAGTGGTTCAGCAGGAGGCTGAGCCTGAGAACTTCTCACCACTCACAAGCTTGCTTCAGCTTTCCCTCCTATTTTCTCACATTTCTATTTATCTTCCTTTGTCCCAGATAATCTCTGTTGTTTCTAACAGAGGCTGCCAAAAGCAATGAATTCTGTATTTCACTTTCTCCCCTCCGTCACACAGAGCCAGTTCTCATCCCAGCAGGGTAACACTGCTCAATTATTGAGTGCTGCCGTAGTTTTTCTCCAGGAGGAGAAAAATCTGCTGCTTGGCCAGATCCTGCTGAGGGAGGACATTCTCTTTCAGTTGTTTGTGAACGTTGTGCATTAATTTTAACTACTTCCTGATAATGGGTTTGGGAGGAAATGTCAAGGAGTTATCTTTGGAGTAGCTACTGCATGTGGGGGGAACAGAAAGAATTGTGTAAAAGATCTTAGTGATTTATATCTTGGTGATAAAATTCTTTTTATAAGAACCTAAAAAGGGAATCGTCTTCCTTTGTCTTTCAGACTTCTACTGAGGACATGGAGACCAGCGAGGCTACTGAAATAATAGAGGGAACAAGGCATGAGGTAAAGCAGTCCTACAGAGACAGGAGGGGTGACACACTGCGGAGTGTTCCTGGGGTGAACAGCTGGAGCAGCCTGGAAAGCACAGCTCCCCGTGCTTGTCAGGCCCCTCTGCAGTGATGATTGTTAATTCTCCCGGTGAATCAGCGTCACTGCAGCCCCTGTCCCCTCGCAGGTCGACAGCCACATCATGAAGGTGGTGCAGCAGATCGTGAACCAGGCCAACTCCGGCCACCAGATCATCGTGCAGAACGTCACCGTGGCCGAGGGCGCCGCGGCCGCCGACGCCGGCGACACCATCACCATCGCCACGCCCGAGAGCCTCACCGAGCAGGTGGCCATGACCCTGGCCTCGGCCATCGGAGACGGAGCCGTGCTGGCCACCGAGGGCGGGCTGGCCGCGCAGGAGGCCACCGTCACCATGGTGGCGTCCGAGGACATCGAGATCATGGAGCACGCGGGGGAGTTCGTGATCGCCGCCTCGCAGGAGGGCGAGGTGGAGGTGCAGACCGTGATCGTGTGAGGGAGGGGCAGCTGCAAACGGCCCGGCTGCTCCAGGCTGACCTGGCCACTGGGGCTGCTCAGAGAGCGATGGGGAATGTTCTGGAGGGAGGTGGCTTCATGGGACAGGGCAGACCCAGAACGGGGCAGGGCAGACCCAGAACAGAACAGGTCAGACCCAAAATAGGACAGGTCAGACCCAAAATGGGACAGGGCAGACCCAAAATGGGACAGGTCAGACCCAGAACGGGACAAGGCAGACCCAGAACGGGGCAGGGCAGACCCAGAACAGAACAGGTCAGACCCAAAATAGGACAGGTCAGACCCAAAATGGGACAGGGCAGACCCAAAATGGGACAAGGCAGACCCAGAACGGGACAGGTCAGACCCAAAATGGGACAGGGCAGACCCAGAACGGGACAGGTCAGACCCAGAATGGGGCAGGGCAGGCCTGAGGTGTTCTCAGTCTAAAACCAGTATCATGAGTTAAACCCTGGGCCTGGTCACGCTGAGGAGACTGACAGGTCACAAGTGACATTCAGTATTCTGTACAGCAGCCTCAAATTAAGGAAGATCCTTTGGGAATCGGCTCTCTCTGCCCATGGGACAGCAGTGGTCTGGTTTTTAAAAGGATTCAGAAAGTGTAGCAAATATATGGGGTCTCACAAGGAATTATTTCAATATATGCATTTAAAACAAGTTGAGAAAACCAAACCTAAGGAGTTGTGGTGTCTGTTGAGCACCACTGAAACACTCTCATGCCTTTAACCTCACTCCTTCAGGCCTCCCAAGGCATGGTACCGCAGTATTTCTCTTTTCTTTGATATCCTGGACAAGTAGCCTTATGTACTGGTCTATGAATGCATCATTGTACCCTGCAATGCCAGCCAGGCTGCTCTGAGAGCCAGCCTGGGGGCTGGAAAGCCATATTGTATAGGAATTTGGTTTTTTTAAACCATATGTGGATTTTTAATTGCATATTGTACAGATTCAGCATGTAAATAAATACATTTTTAAAAATAAAATTATTTAAAATTCTTACTATATTTTTTTTTTCCAATTTCTCTTCTATTATACTCAAACAGAAGAATTTCTGGAAGGAGAGGAGAACAGGGACACTTTAATTTCCTTCCTGAAGTTAATGCTCCAAAGCTGCAGTAGGACATGGTTTCTGCAGGTAAGATCCTGCCAGAAGTCAGTTTTTCAGCTAAATACACACAACCTATTGTAGTCATTGTAAACAGTCATGGGTCAATTGTTTCCCAAAGAAAGATACAAAAAGATGCTGCTTCCTCAAGATTCACAGGAGCTCTGTGTTAGCCCTTCCCAGAGATAAAGATGGACCAAATCCCTGTCATCAGGGGCCAGGACTGAGGGAGGGAGCTCAAATGATGCTCTGCTGAGCCACCAGGATGTGAATTCTGCAGTAACCTTGTTCCAAAATCCGTCTGGGCATCCGAGCCCCCTGCTGAACTAAAGTCTTGGGAAACATCTAAAAATGCCCAGAGAAACAATAATATCTTCATGTTTTCTTCTTCCTTTCCAATACTGTAGGAGGGTTAAAGATTTCCTTTAAATTCCTCCAGATCCCTTTAGAATAAATGTTTTTGTAGACGAGGGGTCTGCCATGAGGCTGCGAGGGGAGATGGGGGGAGCCCCCAGATTTTCGGGATTTGCACCATTCATTGGTGGTTTGGTTGGTGAGGGCCAAATACAGACTGAAGGAGCAATATCCCCCCAGGACGAGTGTGAGCAGGATGACGAAGCCCAGCATGAAGACAATCCTAGGGAAAGTCAAGAAAAGGTGCTGCAGAGAGAGAGAGAAGTAAGTTAAAATGTGGGAGGGTTGAATCCCACGAGCACTGCACAACCCCAGCTGGAATGCACATCCATGTGCTGGTGGAGTTATCTGCATCCCAGGTGTGTCCTGCTTTAACACCTCCACAAAGGTACCTCAGGGACTCTCAGCTGTTTCCTAAACTTCACCACATCAGCTAGTCTTTGGATTGGAAATTCCTTCTCTATGAACCAGATCTGCCAAGCGGAGACGGGAATCTGTAGGACGGCAAGCGCTGTGAGAAAATTCCCCCATTTTTAAAGTGTGTGGTATATTTCAGCAGCTTTCTAAGCCTAGTTACATGTGTAAAACAGCTAAAAACCTGCAGTGTGCCCCAAAGCCCTGCAGTCCCTCCCCACGCTGGGGGAGCAGGACAACATTCCTGCCAGCAAAGCACGAGAAAACATTTTACAGCTGACCTGAACGAGGAAGGCGATCTCCACGGGGTGCTCCTGCCCCTGGGCATCCAGGTAGGAGCCGTGCATGATGTTGGAGAGCAGCAGCACCTGGATGAGGAGTGCAGCTGTGACAGCAGCCAGGGCTGCAGCGGTGGCTGTCAGGGACAGCAGGTACAGCAGGAACACGCCGGCGTTGGAGGCTCCAATGCAGTTGTTGACCCACACACAGTGGTGGTCGAAGCGGTGCACGCACGTCCTGCAGACACCTCGAGGAGGCAGGGGCAAAACCAGTGTCTCAGCACTTTTCTAAGTTAGCAGTTTGAGCTTTACGTGGTTTTTTTTTAAGCTGAATGTATGTGGGAGTTGCAGTCAGGGTTTAGCTGGCAGCTTTTGAAGCAAATGAATTCAACTGTGTATCCTAAGAAAAACAATGTATTCCATTTCCTCTGTTATTCACCCAGACTGCAGCTCCAAGACTTTGTTTTCTCTCACAGTAATGCCTGTCAAAGCACTTGAAAGGTAGAGATTGTAGCTCCCACCTTTATTTTAGATTATAAAATTAAGATGTGGACTTCTCATCCCTGCCAGGCTGGACAGGGCTCGGAGCACACAGTGGAAGGTGTCCCTGCCCTGGCAGGGGGTGACATGAGATGGGCTTCAAAGATCCCTCCCAGCCCCAACCATTACAGGATTCTGTGACTGTGAAACAGAAAATCCTGATCTGGGGTCCTGACAGGTGATAATTTCTCATTTAAATTCCAGCTGCTCACAAGCTCAGCTGTTCCTGACCCTGAAATATCCCTCAGAACCGGTGATTTCTGTGAGAAGAAAAAGCACCCAAGCAGCTCCGTGGATGGGCAAATGCAGCTGTGACATGGGACCCCAGGAAAACAAACAGAGCCCTGTGAGCACTGAGCTGATAACAGAACAGCTGTAGTGGGAACTGCAGCTCCTGGGGGAGAATTCCTTTGGGAAGGTCTTACTGCCATGGTTATCAAGGAATTTCAGATCCTTACTGCAGTGCTTGGACCTGGCTGGCTTCTCCACGGAGCACGTGGGACACACGAGGCCTCTCTGAAACAACACCCCATCGTAGGCATAAACCTCCACCAGGGATGCAGCATTGGATTTTGTCACTGTACCTGCAAAAAGAGACAATAAAAAGAACTAAAAAATGGGATTTGTAGCCTTTTTCTTCCTGTTTTCAAAGAGCACGAGCATGATCTCACCAGGATTGGCCCGGGAGCAGAGCATGAAGCAGCCCAGGTTCCCAGCCAGCAGCAGGTAGGGCAGGAGCAGGGGCAGGAGGTGGAACTGCAGCTCCCTGCAGTACACAAACACTTCCCAGGTGTATTCCCCAAACACTGCAGCCTGCAGGGCTACGTGCAGGACCACAAACAAACAGCTCCTGGAAAGGAAAGGGGACAGTCTATTTAATACTCAGCATCCTGATTAACGGGTCAAGTACACTCAGAGGTGATCAAAGACTTTCCAAATGCAAGGAGACACCTCTTTTAGGTTTTCAGGCCAGCTTGGATTGCATATTAATAGTGTTTTCTCCATCCACTGGCTTCTCCTTCTCTTCTTCCCACATATACTCCTTTAAATATGTCAGCTCAATTCCCTGCTTTATTCACATGTCCTTTGGAATTTTTTTTTCCCTGTCAGTACAAAGTCTTATAATCACTTGCTGCTGACAAAATATGCCACAGCAACAGGCCACAAAACATTCTGCCAGAAGACATTTGCTATTCTGAAAGCAAAGAAATCCCCCAAAATAATCTTAAGAACTCTGCAATAATATAACCAGCTGTTAGAAAATAAGGGTGGCAGGAGGTGGGCGGTGGTGAGCACCAGTTCCAGAGCATGTGGAGGATGCCAGTGCCCCCAGCAGCTCTGACAGTGTCACCTCTGTGTCTCAGGCTGTGCCAGAGCAGAGGATCAGCAGAACAAGCACAAAACCACCCCGGCACTCACAACACAGCTGCAGATTTACAGCCCTGAAGTCACTGCCACACCGAGCTGCTGTCCCCAGAGAAAAGGTATTTAAATCATTCCTGAGGCACCAGAGTTTACAGACACACAAAATCCACCTGAATCCAGCAGGCTGCACGCTGGCAGCTGTGCAGCTTCCCCCTCAGCCACCTGCATGTCCAGGCTGCTGGACTGAGACTAATGGGATTTGAGGGAGAGGATGGAGACTGAGAGTCTGTCTGACTCCGTCTGCAGCTGCCAGAGAGGCTCTGGTAATTCCTGTGGATCCCAGGATCCCACCAGTGTCACCAACATCTGTTACTGAGCCACATTATCTTCATTTGTCAATATGTTCAAACATTTCAGGTTACCACCCTCTAAGCAACGACCGAGGAAGGGAGAGACAGCAGCCTGGCAAACCTCAAAGGGAATCTGTCATCCCTGACAGGCATCCCAAACACAGACAGAATATCTGAGGGTGATACTGAGAGCTCTGCTGGTGGCAGGAGATCCCAACAGTAACCAGAAATAGGAGTAAAGGACAATGCCCAAGGTATAAAAGTGCAATACCTTGTGTGGAAGAGCCTGTGCAGTGCCCGGTGTGTCACCCTCTGGAGCTGGCTGGGGATCACCAGTGACAGCACCTGAGAGAAATGAAGCTCTGGCCATCACTGCTGCCCTGGGGCAAGCTCAGATTTAATCACAAGTCCCTCATCCCTCAGTTCTGGACCTGCACAGCCACAGCACCAGGGGGAGGCTCCTTTTCAGGGGCATCTGAGCTTCTCACCACAGAATCAAAGCTGTGAGAGACCTTCAAGATCATAAAGTCCAGCCATACCACACAGAATCACAGAATCCTGGAATCACCAAGCTTGGACAAGCCCTCCAGGCTCCTCGAGTCCCAGCTGTGCCCAATGCCCACCTTGTCCCCAGCCCAGAGCCCTGAGTGCCACGTCCAGCCCTTCCTTGGGCACCTCCAGGGATGGGCACTGCAAAGCTCCCTGGGCACTTCCAGGGCCCTTTCCATGGAGAAAGAGTAGAGGCAGGAATGCTGCTGGGGTTTCCCACATGAGGTTCCTACATTCCTGGGAGCCCCCCAGGCCCGAACAAACATATCTGGGTTAATGTGTGAAAGTTCTAAGGAGCTTAGGGTGGGTGTAGGGTGGGGATGGGTTAAGCAGGGGATAGAACTGAGCAATTCCCCTGTCACAATATGCTCCATCAGCCCATCTGACAGATCCAGGGGAGATAAGCAAAGGGATAAAGCCTGTGGCATCCAGAAAAGAGAGAGAAGAATATCCATGAGCCATCCAACCCCCCAAAAGTGCAGTTTCTCCAAGTACAGCGGTGATCCAGGCCGATGGCTCCATGTCTAATTGCCCTTTCAGGCACGGCTGGACGTGCTGGAGAAGGAAGCTGTTGACTGAGTGAATCCCTCGGGCAGGGCTGTGCCTGGGGAGCTGTGTGCTCGCTGCTCCGAGCTGACAGATCTCTATAGCAACACAGAGCAGGAATTAGAGCGGCTGAGCCTATTTCTAGCTGACATGGAAGGAAAATATGCAGCGAGAGAGATGTGAAAGACCAGGAGGCAAAAAGCATATGTGGAGCTGAGAAGATGCTAAATATTTTGGTGTGAGCTGGTACATCTCGGCTCGGCAGCTTGAGGGATGAGTGTTTGTAAAAAGAAGATTTTTCAAGTGTGCTGTAAGAGGAAACACAGCCCAGCAGGAAAGAACGTGCAGGAAACCTCAACCCTTGAAATGCCAAGTGCCCTCAGCTGCTCCTCCACGGCCCCTCCAGGCCCTTCACCACCCTGGTGTCCATCCTTTGGATGCTCTCTAAGAGCTTCAGACCCTTCTGATATTCTGGGGTTTGTATTGTATTGCTCCTCACCTTATAATAATTTATCTTCTATTCTGACCTTACATTTAGCATTGCCTGCATTTATAGCCCAGGTAAAATATTGATTATATTCACATGTATTTATTTCCAGGCACAGGTATTGATTTGATTCCTCCAGACACTGGCTTCATACCTCAGCAGTAATTTAATTGCTGCTGTTTAAACTCTTCATAGCAGCAGCTATTAAGGTATGGGGGGAGAAAAAAATCAATTTCTCTGCACTGTGTGTCTATAAACCAAAGGGAAGCATAATACCAGTAATAAAAAAAGTCTGTCTGAACTCCTGTGAACAACATTAAATATAATTTACAATTTAAGTGATAATTCTCTCATCCTTTTCCTTCAAGGAATATTACAGTTTTTTTTGGTTTTTTATTTGTTCAGACACAGCCCAACAGACAGAAAAATGAACTGGTGCTTTTCCAATCCCCTGTTTTTACAATAAAATGCCAATTCTTAATCCTCTTGTAAAGCTCTTCATTCCTGCCTCTTTCTTAGTGAACACGAGCCTGCAGCATTAACACACACATTAAAGAGCTTCCCCTAAAATATCTGCCACCACTTATAATTTTCTCCCTATTTTAATCCTCAAAGCTCCCCCACCTTTTCCCTCTCAATGACAGCAGCCAGTACCACTAAACTGTGAATTCCTGTGGCCTGATTCTTATTTAATTTCTCAGAGTTGTGTTGTGGTGTTACTGAAGGTGAGAAGCTCCATCCTCACCCCAGACAGGCACAGGCAGGGAGGGGAGCTGGGAGACCAAAATGATTTTTATTACCTGCTTAGGCAGGATTAATAATTTCAAAGGAAGTGAATTTCTATTTCCTATCCCACTTCCTTGAGAGCAGACATGAAAACAGGATGGAATATTTTATATTATCACTCTGACCACACACACAGGCTGTTTTTGTTGGTTTTTTTTTGAGAACAAATATAGCAGCTGCACTACTTTTAGCACAACAAAGCAGGGCAGATTACCAGAACGGGAGATGATCATTCCCCTGCAGGTTCATTCTTTACCTGGAAGCCCAGTGCTTTACCTGGCTTGCCCTGCTGACACTCCTTGTGAGGAAACTCTCCTTCCTTCCCGAGCAGAGGCAGAGCAGGGCAGTGGTGGCCAGCACAAAGCACAGGTAAATCAGGAAGAGCGTCAGGAAGTCCATCCCGAGCCTGGAATGGGACAGGAGCAGCTGTTGGACCCTGGCTGCCAGGCTGGCATTCCCTGAGCTCGGGGATGGAGCAGCCCCAGCGCAGGCAGGGCCCCGGGCCAAGGCAGGAACACAGAACCCCAAAATCCTTTAGGCTGGAAAAAACTTCCCAGCCCATCGTGCCCGATGCCCACCTTGCCCCCAGCCCGGACCCCCGAGTGCCACATCCAGACACTCCTTGGGCACTTCCGAGGCTTGGCCACCCTTTCCATGGGGAAACTCCTGCTGCTGCCCACCCTGAGCCTGGGTTCCCTCTCCTCCTGTCCCTGTTCCCTGTAGCACAGCCCGAACCCCCCGGCTGTCCCCTCCTGGCAGGGAGTTGTGCAGAGGCAGGATTTCCCCCGATCCCCCTTTTCTCCAGGCTGAGCCCCTTTCCCAGCTCTCCCAGGAGCTCTCCATTCCCTGGGCATCCCGGTTCGGTTCCCTGCCGGTGCAGTCCCGGGGCTCCCGGCGGCTCCGGGCGCTGCGGAAGCGGCTCCGCCCGGGGCTCGGAGCCTCCAGCGCCCTCCTGAGCCGCGGCGGCCCCGGGAGCCAGCCCGGCCCCGCTGAGGAGCGACAAAACCCTAAACACATCGCTGACACCAGGCCGTGGATCCGGGAATTGTGGCAGTGCCGAGCCCGATCCCGTGTGAGCCCGGTGCTGCCGATGTGCTGCTCCCGTCCTCCCGGAGCGCTCATCCCACCGCCTTTGCCCAGCCCGTGCCATTCCTTAGGAAGCGCCGAAAATTCCTTCGGTGTTGCGGCCCTTGGTGAAGCCTCTAGATCAAAATTCTCGTGCCCTCCCCGAGCTCTGAGCACCACGTTCCCTTGTAGCCCGGATCCTCCTGGTGCCAGGCCAGGCGGGGTGGCTCCCGCACCTGCTGGCTCTCACCTGGGGCCGGGGTGAGCCGCAGGATGCTCTGCCCATCCCTCCGTGCTGCCTGACAACTGAAACCTCCCCCCGGGGCCGATTGGGTTACGGTGCCTGGCTGGAATTTGCCAGAGAAACTCGTCCGCGTCACCGATCCAAAGGCTCCCAAACTGCTGGGATGGTTTTCCCAGCTCTGGGCCCCGCTGTGCCGCTGGCTGGAGCTCGGACAGCACAGGTAAGCGTTCCAGGGATGCTCCAGGGGCTTCGGCCAAAGAGGAGATGAATCGCCTTGGTGGGAGGCAGGAGAGCAGCTTGAGTTTCAGGAAGAGTCTCTTTTTTCCCTTGGTAAGCCCAGCGCACCAAACAGGACACGAGAGGGAGAAACGCAGCCAAAATATTCCTGGGCCACAGCTGTCTTGGAGTGCAGCCCAAGACACTTGGGTGGAGGATGGAGTGGAACAAGCAATTTTCCCCATCCTACTGAGAGAGCAGAATTTCTGCAGGTACAGAAATAGCTTGGCTTGGCTCGCTGGATGTCACCTGGCAAGCCTGGCGGCACAGAAGGGGCTGGGGGTGGGCTCGAGGTGGTTTATTTGTGGGGGGACAGGCAGGGTGTGTGTGTCACGGTCCCTGGGCACAGCCAGGACAGGGCCAGCACCCTGGGACTGGCAGCAGCAGTGCCGAGGAGCTCGTCCCCTCTCGGTGCCCTTACAGGCTGTGCTCAAGGACAAGCAGCCAGCAAATAACAGCACAGAGGCTGAGACTCAGAGGGATGAAGCTCATTCAGTCCAAGCACTGTGAAAATCACTTAGAAAGTCTTATCTGGTCAAGGTCTGACAGAAGGTCTTAATGGAAACCACCTCCATTTGCTTGGGAGCCCAGAACGCAGTTCTTTCAAGGATTAAAGTTCACTGCCAGTGTTTAAAGTGCTCAAGTCAGTTACAAATGGAGGGAAAAGAAGCAATTACCTCACTGGCTGAACAACAACAACAAGAAAAAATACAACAAAAATACAAGAAAGGGATGAATTGCAGTTTTGACTGTTTGGGCAGGGAGTAGTAACAGAGATGCATGAGTTTGTAGGAGTTGTGTGTGTCAGTGCCAGCACGGGAGGAGAGATGCCCCAGAGCCCGGGGATTGCTGCTCAGAAGGAGATTTGTGCAGGACACCCCACCAGAAAGGAGCTGGAGAGGACAGGAGGAGCAGGAAGAGGAGGAAGAAGTGTGTTTCAATCCCCTGAAGCTCTGACATGAGCACAGAGGTCCCGAGCAGGAGGCAGACCCTCCACCACAGCTGTGCCCGGTGTCCCGGGGAGGTTTTCCCACCCCGGCCTGTGCCGGATCACTGCGGCTCCACAGAGAGATGCAGACCCCCTGCCGCTGGTGCCGCAGCAGGACGAGTAATTCCCTAAAACCTCTTAGTGTGCTAAGCCCTGGGATCCCTCAGTGCTGAGGAAGCCGAGGAGAAAATCAGAAATAGCAGCTTAAGGGACAGTCGGTGCCGGCACGGGGGGCTCACGGCTGCTCCCCGCTGAGCCCAGCACGGAGCAGCCTGGCTGGGGACAGCTCTCCAAATCCTGGGCCCCCAAATCCCTGCGGGTGTAGGTTGTACTCCCAAAATCTCGGTGCCTCACTCACCTCTGCCTGCGGGGTCCCGGCACGCCCAGGGCTGTCCCTGCTGCTCCGCACAGCGCTGTCACTTCGGATTTGCCCTGTGGCTGAAGGATTTCCCTCCACGGGCACTAATCTGTTTTCCCTCCTTCCAGCTCCTAATTCCCCCCAGATCTGCAGGCTCAGGTCAGCACCGGGCTCAAGGCAGGACGAGCACGGCAATTACTCTGCCCTCGCTCCTCTGTGTGATGGAAATAAAGTTAATTAGGAAACGAAAAGGCCAGAAAGGCCTTAGCGCGTGTCTGGAGCTGAGCTGGAGCAGCTGGAAGGGCGCAGGGCTCCGGTGAGAAGGCTGGGAAGGGGCAGCAGCCCCCTGCCCGCTCTGTCGCTGTGCCACGGCAGCCGCTTCACCCAGCCCGGACCGACCCCGAGCCCGGGGCGGCAGCGAGGACGGGGGAGCCGGGAAGATGCTCCAAGGAAGGCTGCGGGTACATGGGAAGCGCTCCCGTGGGTGATGGAGGAGAGTCACGAAAGCTTCGAGCCCTCGGTGGGACAAAGGTGCCGCCGGTGAGAGCCCCCGGCTCGCCTGGATGGCCGCGGACTTCTGTAAGTGCTGGAGCCGAGGGAGGCGAGGTGGAGGGGGTGCGGCTCCCCGCTGATCTGCCGGGCTTTTCCCTGGAGCACAGCTCAGAGCAGCAGCGCTGGGACCGTCCCGGGGCTTACTGGGCTCCTGCTGAAGCTGTCAGAACTCGTGCCCAGCAGCCCCGGGGATGAGGTTTGGTCGCAGATGGGTTTCATCCCTCTGCTGCCAGGATTGCCCCGAGCTGCACCCTCAGCTCTTCCCCTCTGAGTCTCAGTCTCTGTGAGATAATTTGCCCAGGTAAAATTGTCCGAGTTTCACTTTTGTAAGTGCTTAATGTGTGTGCAGTGACAGATGGAATAAACACGGGGGTAAAAAGCATCTTCAGAGTCAGCTGAGCTCAAATGCAGAGGAAAACCACACGTGAATTATTTTAGTGAGTGTCAGCGGACAGTGCAGGCACTTCCACACCACAGAACCACAGAGTGGGAGGGCTGGAAGGGACCATGGCGAGGTCATCTGGACAGCAGAGCGTGGAAAGGGCATCCCAGTGCACTGTGCACATCAGCTGGCCGGGTTTACCTTGGGCAAAGACAACTCCTGCAGATGTTCAGGGCTGCTGTGCCCGATGTCTCCTTGAGCATCCGTGGAGTCGCTCCAAACCCTTCAGTGAACCACAGACAAGTCCTGCTGAAAACCATCACCCTGCCATTTTGGGATGCTGCCCTCAGGACAGCTCATACACGGGACTTAGAGGGCACAGAGAAATGATCCTGGCAGAGCTGAGATTACTGTAATGAATTTACAGTAATTTTGTAGTTGCAAACAGCTAAAATATTGAGTGTTGAGAAGAGCTGGTTAAAATCAGGCTGGTTTAAGTCCTTGGACTCCATCTATTGATTAATGTAACATGTCAGAGAAATGAACTAATCATTTTGATAGATAAATAAATACAAGAAGATGCCTAAAAGAGGCTCCTGGAGAGAGGGGGTTTGTGGGTGCCACAGGTCACATTTGAGTGCCACGAGTAGCCCCAGCCTTCCCAGCCAAACGTGGCCTCCTCAGTGGCACCGCCAGCAGCCAGAGTGAAAACTGCTATTTTAAGGAAACCTAGAGGAAATACAGGCTCTTGGGGCTTTTCTTCCCGTGGCGAGGGGGACACAGCGCACACTGTAACCCCTCACCCGATGGGCTCCACACGGCATCGACGGGAACGACCCCTAAGGATGGAGGAGCCATCACAACTCCTCTCTTTCCCTCCTTCTTTTCCAGTCACAGCCATGCCGGCAACCAACCAGGGCTGGCCCGAGTCCTTCGGGTTCCGGATAAGCGGCTCGGGGCCGTGTTACATCCTGTGGGTGCAGGAGGGCAGCAGCGCGGCGCTGGCGGGGCTGCGCCCCGGGGACCAAGTGCTGGAGATCGAGGGCCAGCCCGTGTCCTCCCTGGGCTGCGAGGCTCTGCTGGGGCTGGCCCGGAGCTGCTGCAATGTCCCCCCCAGCATCGGCGTGGTGTCCCGGCTGCAGCACGCCAGCATCCCGCCCGGGCCCCGGGGCTGCTTCGGCTTCGAGCTGGCGAGCGAGAGCCCCCCGCGAGTGGCCAGCGTGAGCCCCGAGTCCCCCGCCGCGGCCTGCGGGCTGGAGCCGGGGGATTTCGTGCTGGAGGTGGACGGGACGCCGGTGGAGCTGGCGGAGGAGGCGGCAGCGCTGGTGGGGTCGTGCCGCGGGCGGTGCCTGCGCCTGGCGCTGCTGCGGCCGCAGCGAGGGGACCCCGCCGGGCACCCCGGAGCCAACCCCGGCACCGCCCGCAGGGACAGGAGGCACAAGGCGCAGGAATTCAGCAGGAAGGTGAGGCCGGGATAAGGGATAAGGGGTTCTGGGCACCCCCTGCGCCCAGCGGAGATTCCCACATCCAGCCTTGGCACAAGGATGGGGAATGGTCCCGGCTTGGTCATGGAGCTGGGGTGCGGATTTGGGGCGGGAACACCCGAGAGAAGGCTAATTACAGATGGTAATGTAATGGTAATGGGTGCTGCAAAGGGCTTGGAGAGTCCCTGGGGATGACCCCAAGTTCTTATTCCCTTGCTCTGTAAGAGCGTGGAGAAAGCCACAGGGCAGATCCTGCTCTGCGTGCCTGGATGTTCCTTCAAAGTCTGAGCCCGTCACCCCGCAGACATTTTAGTTCCTATTTTGTTGCAAAAAGGAAAACATCAACGCGATTACATCTTCATTGTGCTCCTGAAAGTTTCCTAGGGGTATTTTAACAAACACCTCGCCTTGTGCTAATTATAAATTTGATCACAGTTGTTTTTTTTTTTTCAGTCTTTCTAATTTCCATTTCAAAGTAGCCTTTTAAAATGCTGTTATGAAAATAACCAGGCTGGTAGGGCTTTTCTTTTTTTTTTTGATCCCCAGTTAATAAAGGAACAAGACATCCATAAAGAGATTTGTGGGTATCAGGCGAATCCCCTCAGTCAGCTTCTCCATTAAAGATTCACAAATACCCACTGAGGTTTGGATTCATGGGCGTGGGAAACAGATACCTGCTGATTACAGGAGATTAATGAGGAGGGGCGGTTGTTCCATGCCGCCTCCATCTCTGAAGTCACATTAAGCCAAGTAAAAGATTCTTGGATGATCACAGGAGAGCAAGTTTGTTGTGGTGGTATGAGCACCCCTATCAGCACGTCTGTCCTGTCCCTGTCCCCTCCCTGTCCCCTCCCTGTCCCCTCCCTCCCAGGCCAACAAAGCCACCCGGGGCAGCCCCGACCAGCCGGGGCAGAAGCAGGAGTGCAGAGCACGAGTGCTGCAGAATTTCTTCTCTCCAGAGGGAATTCGCAGAACGGATGTTTGAAGTTTCTGTGTGCTGTAGAAAACACTGAACCCCGCGGGGTGTTTCACCCCCTCCTTTTCCCGGCTCTGCTCGGTGCTGCTGCCCGCCCGCTGCGGGGCCGGGAGGTCGGAGGGTGCTGCTGGTTGGTATTTCACACCCACGGGTCACCTTTTCCCAGCCTCCTGGGTTCGGCAGAGCCTGAATTTACCGATTCATGGACAGCGGTGTCCATGTCCAGTGGCTGGAGCTGGGGCTGTGTCCCGGCATCCTGAGGGCATCACCGCGAAGCCAGGGAGGTGCTCACGGTCTCAACTGCAGGGCAATGTCTTCTCTTGTCCTCAGGGACAGCGTGAGGGCTGGCAGCACCCCCGAGGTGCTGGAGTCCCCATCCCTGGAGGAGTGGCTGGACGTGGCACCCAGGGCTCCGGGCTGCCGAGAAGGTGGGGATCGGGCACAGGTTGGACTCGAGGATCTGGGAGCTCTCTTCCAACCGAAATGATTCTGCGATTCCCACCCACCAAGCTCTGCAATCCCCGCCCAGGCAGAAATTTCACAGCAGCCCTCTGGGATCCATCCCTCCAGGAGCAGCAGAGTCTGTCAGTCCTGTGCTGGACCTGGGGACAGCGCGCACGAGCCAGCCCAGGGGACACCGCTGCTGTGGCTGCCCCAGATTTGGTAACCTTGAGTTGCTGCCGGGAGCCCCCGCAGTGCCTGCACAGAGCCAGCTGCACCGGGGGGCTCTGCCAGGGTCCTGCTGCCTCTCTGGGGAGCTGCCGAGTGGGGCAGCACCGGGAATAGATGGCTCTTCCCCTTCCCCATGCAGGTGATGACTGCGGGCTGCCCGGCAGTGCCACCACAGGGCGCACACAGAGCCCTGCCCACACCCCCAGTGCCCCGGGGAAAGGGGAGAGGCTCCTCTCCCCTTCCTGCAGTTAAACCTGCTGGCAGCACAAAAAACATCACCTTTCAGGAAAAGCCAGCACGCACAGGTACGGAGAGGTGGTCAGGGGAGGTTCCTGCATCCCACACGAGAGGTGCAGGTGAGGAATCAGCTCCCACTGCCCAAGGACAAGGGGCAACCCCCCAGTGTGGGGGGAGATGAGTAAGGAGGGTCCCATGCAGGGTAATTGGCTCGATGGTAATCAGCTAATTTCTCTGCCTGTCCCAGCTAGAGAGGATGGGACAGTGGCTGGGAGCTGTCTGTGCTGTCTGTGCTGTTTCCAAGGATGGCAATCACCTTCATGCTCTGTCTCCCCATTGCCAGCAGCTTCCCAGCACTCAGGGCAGGACGGAGCTGCCCAGGGGGTCAGGGAGTGGTGCACGAAGCACAAAGCTCAAATAGCTCCAAAAGCCCATTGCAGCATCCTCTGCCAGGCAGACTCCAGGCTGATCCCATCCCTGCAGGGCCCCTGTGACCCAGCAGAGTTTGGAACAGCAGTTCCAGGGCCGTGCGTGAGAGCAGAGCAGGGCTGTGTGATGGGCTCAAGTGTCCCTCTCCTCCCTGCGTGGTTCCCTCCACCTTGGCTGAGCAGGGAGTGGGACACATTTCCCGTGTGGCAGTGCCCACGGTCCCACGCTCTCCTGCTCAGTGTCCCGTCCCTGTCCCCTGCTGCAGGTGGATGCCATCCTCGGGGACCAGCCGCAGCTGAAGGAGAAGGTGTTCACCGTGCTGAAGCAGTACGCGGCCGAGAGGAGGGTGGAGTGCCTGGCCTACGCCCTGTGCATGGTGCTCACCCAGGAGTCCCACCAGCACCTCATCGACAGCATCAGGTACCAGGGGCACCTCCACGCTGCCCTGGAGCCACCAGAGCACGGCTCCCTGTCCCTGCTGCTGCCAGGGGAGCAGGGCAGGTCGGGAGGGTCCTGTGGGAAGGGATTGGGAGGATCCTGCAGGGAAGGTGCCAAACAGATTTCCAAGGGACAGCTGAGCCAAGCTTGGTGGCATCTTAGCCCAGCATCCCTGTGCCCTCCTGGGCAGGGTGTGTGGGGGCCCTGCAGCCCACTGCCCCTGCCTGCAGCGGGGGCTGCGGCTCCCGTTCCTGGCCATGATGTGGAAGGGAGATGGGATTAGCTGCAGAGACACTGGAGATTCTCCAAGAGCCTGGCCAGAAAATAATCTGAGTTCTGCGGGGTGAGAGCTGGTGCAGGCTCGGCCAGCGCTGCCAGCAGCTCTGGCAGTGGGGGCTGGGGGGTCTCTGCTGGGGCCATGGGCTGCCCGTGGTGCCAGGGAAAGCTCCCTCATCCCGGGATGCCCTGGCAGTGCTCTGCTGGAGCTCGGGGTCCCCAGCACCCCCGGAGCCCGGTGCCACGGGGGGATCTGCTGCTCCTGGGCAGCGTGGCCAGAGCTGCTGCTGGCACAGGGACACGTGGTGGGATTACAGCCAGCCTGAGACCATGGCCATTAGGGAATCAGGTCTCCATCTGGCCTCGCTCCGGGCCCAGCTTTCCAATTGCTGCTTTAATCAGAGGAATTGCAAGATATTACAGTTTCCATAACAACGTCCCCGTGCGGGGTCTCCGCCGCGACCCAGCGATGGGCAGGCTGCGGGAGCGACTCGGGGTCTGGCCACGCAGGGTCCCCCTGCTGTGCTGTGACTGCCTGAGAGTCCCCCAGAGCTCTGCACACCTGGGGACAGCAGGCACAGACCCTGCAGGGTGCGGGGGACCGACAGCTGCCCGCTGTCACCTTGTCCAGGTGCTCATGTCCAGCATGTCCTGTCCCCACCGAGCATTCTGCAAGGAACCCACTTGCCAACAGCTGGGGCTGGGGGCAGGGATGGATGGCACCGAGCCAGGCCTGAACCATCACCCCAAACTAAATCAAAATATAAGCCCCCACCACTGACAATTCAGGAAAATTCTTTCCCCCAGCAAGATCCATGGAAATACCTCAAATGCCTCGGATATCCCCTTTGTCATCATCCCTGGGGAATTATACGGGATTACTTCCCCCCACAGAGGGGATTTGAATAAGTGTCCAAATCTCCTTCCGGACCCAAGCCCCTCCGTGGGGGGCACAGCAGGTTCCCCCCAGGCTGTCCCTGTCCCAGCAATCCCTGTGCCAGTGAGGAGAGCGTGGCTGGAGCCGGTGCCGCCATCCGGAGCTTGCCCCACGCCCAGCCTGTGATGCCAGGGGCAGCACCACGTTAGGGCTCCCCAAAACAGGGTCAAACCCCCTGATTGCCCCCTGCCCCTGTGGGAAAGGTTAACGCCAGGGCTGGGGCAAGGGGCACCGTGGATCTGGCAGCTAATCTGGGTTTAATGGAAATGAAATATTTAGCTCAGGGAAAAGATTTAGCGTCTAATCTTAATGAAATGAAGTCAAGAAAATGAATAAAAAAGGTGCCTTGGAGACCAGGTTTCCCAGCTGTGGGTGCTGGGGGCAGTGCCAGGCGTGCTGCTGTGCCTGATCCCAGCTGCTGATCCCGGGGTCTCTCCCATGGCTTTGCTGCCAAGCAAGAGCTGTCCCTGTTTTTACTCTCAGGGTGGTGAGCAGCTTTCAGGAGCTCTGGGTTCAGGGTGCTGTGAATTCCTTGGGTGATTCCAGCCGGTTCAGTCTGACGCTGACTGAGGAGGGGTCTGGGGTCTGTGCCCTGGAGCAGCTCTGGGGACAGGGGAGGGCCGTGGGGGTTCCTGCAGGGGGTGTCCCTGTTCTGGCACTGGCTCTGGGGTGGGTGCAGTGTGGGGGTGCTGCTGTGGCCCGGGGCACAGGGCAGCCCCCCCGGGCAGTGCTGTGGGTGCAATCCGGGCAGAGGAGCCCATCGGACCTGACCCAGGGGCTTGTCCTGGGGTATCACCCCAGGGAGGACTCAGGAGCTTGGGAGAACCCATCGGGCACTCTGTGAGGCTGTGCCCAGCTCTCCAGGGTCTGGGACAGCCCTGCACACCCCTGTGGTCTCATCCAGGCTGCTGAAGGAGGCTGGAGGAGAGGAGTCCTCGGGGGGCTGGAATGAGCCCCTCCTGCCCAGGATGGCAGCGCCATCGGCCAGGGACTGGGATGGGTGCTGGGGTGATGCCAGCAAGGGTCCCCGCTGCTGTTCCATGCCCCGGGCATGGGCACACGGTGGTGGCAGTCTGTGTGTGCCCGTGTGTCCCTGTCACCCAGGCCAGGCGCCGGTCCGGCCCCGTTTCCCACTGACCCCCGCGCTGGCCTGATTGGATCTTCCCTCTGCACCAGCCGTATTTATTTTTGTGCTGTTGCTGCTGCCGGCTGTCCTCTGCTGTCCCCTCCCCTGCTGTCCCCTCCCTGGGCTCCCCCCGGGTTCACCGCTCTCCCTGCAAAGGCTCAGAGAACCCCAGACCCCCGACTCAGCACACGGAGCCACCCGGCGCCGCACCCGCGGCTCCTCCAGCCGGCCTTTTCCAGTATCGGATTTCTTTTCCCCCTCCCTTTCTTTTTATCTCAAATGGATTTCATCCCATTTGCCCAGAATTAAGCTCCCGCAGATTTTAATTTGCTGACATTTTTTTTTTTCATCTGCTCGGTTGTGGATAGCGGGGATAATGCACGTGCTGTGCCGGGTCCTCCCCGCTCCCATCCCCTGCCCATATGGCCGATGTGTGTAGGCAAAGTGCACAGTTGTGCTTCTGCCCGAGGATGCTGAGATCCGGCTGCCAGCGGGGAAGATGAGCTGTCTCGGGTGAGTAACGAACGCGCCTTTCCCGGGACTGAGGGAAATGGGTTTAAATCAGGTTAATTCTGGAACGTGGCAGCCCCTGGCACTGCGAAAACGAGGTGTGCTGGAAGTTAATTAACTCTTAGCATCCGTATTGCCTCGGAGCTGCTCCGCTCACCGACTCCGCCAGGAGGGGAAGCTCTAATTTGGGTTATCCCATCAGCCTCGACAGCGGAGCTCGGCTCCGGCCCGGGGCACCGGGGTCTGTCCCCTCTGCTCCCCGCGCCGGGGCTGCGTGTGCCCCGCTCGGGATGGGATGGGTTATTTTGGGCCGGGGTCACTGCTGGTGCTGCTCTGATTTCTGAGCTGGTTTCAAGGCAGGGCAGAGCCGGAGTGCTGCCACCAGCACTCCCAGTCCATCCCCGGGCTCTGCGGGCAGGAGCCACCCTCGGGACACGGGGGATCCTCCTCGGTGTCACCCCGGGCTGTGGCACTCGCTCAGCCCCACGCCCCGGGCACCGGCTCCCTTCGCTTTCCCGGTGGTGCCATGCCAGGGATGCAGCAGCCCCCGGCAGCAGCGCTCAGGTTAAAAACATCTGTTTTTATTCCGGGGGAAATCTCCGGTCCATCCCTGCCCCGCAGCTGCTGGGAATAACAACTGGCTCTGATGGTGACACAGCCACCGTCCTGGTAACCTGCTAACCTCGGGGGGAAGCTCGGGCTCTGTTCGGAGTGTGAGATGCTGTCTTGGGTCTCCTGTGAGTTGTGTTGTGCTTCAGGGCTGCGGCTAGGACAGTTTGGGGCAGTTTGTGCTTCGCTGTTTTGTCCCCGCTCCGTTTGCTCCCGGGAAAAGCCGAGGGTGGCTGGGCTGGACTGGGCTGGGCTGGGCTGAACTGGGCTGGACTGGGCTGGGCTGGGCTGAGCCCGCTCCCATCTCAGCCACCTCTGATCCCTGACACGGCTGAAATCGCTGCCCGGCGGGGGCTCCCGTTCTTATTATTTTTTTTATTATTTATTTTATTACGGGAGAAATTCCAACGAGTCCTTGTTAATAATGCTCCCAACACAATCAATTTGTCTCAGCTTGTTTTTCACGGCAGTAAAACTGCTTGGAGTGTTCCTGTATTAAACTGCTCCAGCCATCTGTGACCAGCCCTGGGTCGGAAATTTCATTCCAGCCATTAGGATTTATTTATTATGGATTGTGCTGCTTCCCTCGCCCCCTCCACACACCCACTTCTTCAAGGATGGGGAGAGCTTCCCAGCTCTTTTGGATGTGGATGGAGCATGAGAGACCTCCCGAGTCACTGATGCTGACATGGACACTATCCTCCTGTCCATGGTCCCGGCATTCCCACTGGAAAAGCACCTGGATGACAGTGGAGGAAGAGCAGCTCTTCTTTGCTTCCATTAAAAAAAAAATCCCCTAATCTGATGGCCCAGCATATGCTCAAGTGCCAAAAAAAAAAGAGAATTAGGGCAGCAGGGAACGAAACGTGTCACCAGTGAGACAATTGGGAGCGAGTTCCTTTTTTATTGGTGGAGTTCAAATAGGTCATGACCAAAATGCCTCGGTGCGAAATCTCCTGATAGGAGATTAAATTCCTTTGGCAAATCAAACTCGGGCTGGGATGCAGATGGGATCAGCCTGGCTAGCCTGCTCCCTGCTGGAGTCACAACTTTTCTTTTGGGAAGTGGTTACTTAAGATGAGTTTTCCAGTGTCTTAAAGAAAACAGGGAAAGCAGAGTGGTGCTGCAGGAAAAGCCGCTCTGGGGGTTTCTTTGAAGGTCTCCGTGTCCCCAGAGCTGTGGGAGTGCCTTTCCCTGCCAGGGCAAGGACAAAGCCACCAGCTCGTGGTGCACAGCATGGATTTGGCACAGGGACACTGGACTGGGGACAGCTGGGGGCACCCTGGGCTGCTGACGGGGAAGGGACCCCCAGGCAGGCACGGGGTGTGGATCTGCTCCGGGGGGACTCTGATGAATCGCTGCTGGAGCTGGAGCAGGGATGTGTTAGGACAGGGTGACCCTCTCCAAAAGCTCTTGGGGGTTTGGGCTGTCCCCAAGGACGAGTGGGGTGGCCGGGGAAGGGCTGTGAGGGGCTCCCTGCACCCTGTCTGCACCCCCGGCTGGAAAAGCACCTTCATTCCTGGTAACTGGTGCCGATGGTCCCGTCTGCAAAACATCTGCAGCCAGATGTGACTGTGGAGCCTCCGAGCACAGGGAGAACGGGAGTGGAGTCACAGCTCCGTGCTGCTGCCAGGCTGGAGCGAGTCCCGCTCCCGCACGAGGCTCCGGAGGCTCCACATCCCCAGAGCTGGGGGAGCTGCTGGGGCTGTGACCCCCGTCCCACACACACGGCTGGATGAGCTTCGGGAATTTGGGGTTGATAAGCAGAACTCCTGTCCTGGGGGTAAAGCCTGCAAGAGTTTTCTCTCCCAGATTTTAGCATTTAGCCGGACCAGCAGAGCTTTTTGGGACCGGTAGCGGTTTCCACAGCACAGTTCAGACATAATCCAAGTGGAGCTCAGTGTTTTAATCCACCCTGGGACGTGTTTTTCTGCACAACTGACAGACTCAAGGTCAGGTCTTTGCTGGTTATTCTGGGGCTAAACCATACGTTTTTCATGTGTCCTTCCTTTGCTGCTACCTGGAGATTGTGTGTGATGTTGGCAGCTCTGGGAAGCTTCACATCCTCTTCATCAAACGCCAGTGATGTGCTTAAAGATGGCGTTATTTAAATTAAAGAAGAGTTTTCTCTTATTCCTGCTGAAAAGCGCTGCTGTGTTACCCTGGGGGTAAAGGATGCTCCATGCAGGGGTTCGGGCCCGTGACTCTGGTCCTGCTCTGGTCCTGGTCCTGCCTGGCAGCTCCACCTCCCCGCCCAAAACCCGCACCCCTGACGCCGTTTGCCTTTAAGGTTTCTCACCCCTCACTGCAGCACATAATTTAGACGCTAGCACTTTAGAAGTCAACTAATTAGCACCAGGGAGGCATCCCCCCGGAGTTGGGCTCCGAGCCGTGCCCTCCTTTCTGTTACGAGATCGTTCCAGCTGGAAATTACCGCGCCTGCAGTTTTTAGGGGAAGAGGGAGGCTTGGCGGCTGCGAGCCGGGGCAGAGCCGGGCAGGCAGGGCAGAAGTGCCCGGCAGAGGCGAGCGGAGGCTCCCGGCCGATGCTGAAGCCGCAGCTGGGGCTGGCAGCGTGGCGGGGGCCGGCCCGAGGGGCTGAGGCAGCCGGAGGTGCCGGGGCTCGGTCCCCGGGCACGGCGGGGGTGCCACTCGCGGGGCGGCACCGGCTGCCGGAGCGGCCCCGTCGTGGGCGTGAGCCGAGCCCGAGGCTCAGCTGCATGAGCATCTGAAGCGTCTCCCTTTTGTTCCCGCCGCACCCTGACAAATGGGAAAGGACCGGAGTTTCTCCCGGCATTTTCGGTACGTGTCCCTGCGCCGCTGCCCCGCGGTGCCCGCCCGTGGGGTGCTGGCACAGCCTCGTGTCCCCACCGGCGGCCCTGGGGTGGCTCTGCTGCCTCTGGGGGCTGTGCGGACCCCGCCGTGTCCCCGGGACAGCCCTGCCGGGGGAGTCCAGCCAAGCTCGGACAGGGAGTTGGGTGAGGGGTGGTGGGAAGAGCCCGTGTGGGGCTGCTCTGTCTCCAGGACCGTCGGCCAGCCCGGGGGGTGAGGACGTGGGGCTGGGGGTGTGATGGAGCGGGGCCCGGTGTCCCCTGGCTGAGCTGGAGCCAGCCCTGCTGCCCTCCCGAGGGGACACTCGTGTCCCCTGAGCCCCAGCATCGGCTGCGGCTGGGCCTGCCCGGGGAGCCCCTCGCACGGGGGACAGGAGCTGTCCAGAGCAGCGGCTGGGAAACGGGACAGGCAGCTCCCCGCGAGGGTGGGCTGCGGGAACGGGACTGTCTGTGCAGAGCTGGGCGGCCAGGGACCCACCTGCGAGCTGCGGAGTGTGAGAGTGGCACAGGCTGAGAGGTGCCCAACACGGCAGAGGGAGCCCCGAGCAGCAGCCGAGGGCAGGGGACGGGCACAGTGGCACTGCCACCACCCTGGGCAGGCTGCTGTGGGGATGGGATGAAGGGAAAGCAGCCTGGAGAATCGGAGACCTTTCCCAGCCTGGAAAATGACCTGAATTCATGTGTTTGAGCAGACTGAGTTCTCCCGAATGGGCGCAGAAGCTGCGGCAGAGGAGGGCTGGCGCCCCGGGGCTCAGCGGCACCGGGTGTGGGAGCAGGCACAGGGCTCAGGGATGGGGGAGCCTTTCCCATCCCCTCTCCAGCAGAAAACAGAGCTGGGGCTGACCTAGAGCACCTGAGGAGGAGGAGGGAGAGGAAGCTGAAGGCACGAGGCCAGCACTGTATGACCCTGCCTCTGCTTGACCTCCACAGACAGGGTGGGCACATCCACGCTCCCTGAATCCCGGTGGGATTTGCTGGGAGAGGGAAGCCCCAGCTGGGTGCTGCTCCTTGGTGCCATGCCAATGGACAAAGCCAGGTTTATGCTGTGGGATGGCAGAAGCAGCCACAGAAACTGTTTTGCCTGCTTTAGTGGGACTGTTTGCAGCAGTCAGCCAGATCTCTCCTTTCTGGGCACTGCTGTGCTCCAGCACTGAGCCAGTCCCGGAGCAGTGCCGGGTCCTGGGCTGGGTCTGGAGCTGAGCTCCTCAGCCCAGTGGTGAAGCAGAGGCTCGTGCAAACTGGGACAGCTCTGCTGGAACGTGCAGGGCCGATGTAATTTGGCCACTTAAATGGGATTGTGCTCATTTTGCCTGTGAGGAGCCCGCACTTCTCCCTGGTGGGTGCCCAGCTTGGGGCAGAGGCTTGGGGGACCCACATCCTCCCCTGTCCCACAGGGTGAACTATTTATTAGCACAATTTCACTCTTTTCTAGTTGCTGCTCAGTCACAAATCGCCTGGGAATTGCACCAAAGCGTTACTTATGTTAAATTGTCACCAGATGCTCTGAGTGAGCATCTGCCAGCCTCGGGTGGCTTCTGGTCTGTTTTCTCCTGCACCAGCTCTTGGAGTTTTGGGGAGACAGAGATGTCCTGGTCCCGGTAGATTTGGGATTTGAAGCCTCTCCTCCGTCTCCACCGAGGTTTTTGCGTTCCTTGGTGAAGCTGCCCGAGGGAGCCCGGTGGGATCCCCTGCCAGCCCCAGCTGTAGCGGCTGGTGCCGGCCCTGGAGCCGCTCCCTCTGGGTCCTGTGGCACCAGTTTGGCCCAGTTCCTGCCGCGGTGGGACAGGCGGTGCCCGGGCAGCCGGGGCTGTGCTCACACCCCTGGAGGCTGCGATAGCACCGGGCCCGGGCTCTCACACCCCGCCAGGTGCCGGGCGCGAACGAAGCTGCGCGGCCGAACCTCCCGAGATGGTTTTGTCAAACGAGCGGCTGCAGCTGCAGGAGTTGCTATAGAAACACTCGGAGATGACAGCTCCTCCAGAAGCCCCTAAATGTGCGAGCGGAGGGTAGGGGAAGGTGAGCAGGTGTCGGGGTCTGGCTGCTGTGACGGCAGAAGGAAAAGGAAAAGATAAAGTGTGTCTCGGCGTTATGGAGCTCACCTTGCCCCGGTGGGAGCGGTGCCTCCTCCCTCCCTGCTGGGATCCTGCTGTGCACCCCCGTGCATCCTCTGAGTGTCCTGGGGGTCCACAAAGGCCACTTGCGAGGCAGGGGGGAGGTGACCCGGAACAGAGCGAGTTCCTGGGGATGTCCCCGTGCCTGCGGTGTCACCGTGCGGTCCCTGCGTGCAGCACCATCGTCTCCCAAGGGAAACCACGCTCCTGCCTGGCAGGGTAGGAATGTGGGAACACTCAAGGCTGGAGCCCTGGAGAGCAGAGACTGGGGCAGGAGATGGGGAGCAACGTTTTGGGGGTCCGAGGATGTGCTGGAGAAGAAGCGGGTCTGGAGGAGGGGTTTGACATCACTGCTCTAACGGAGCTCTGCATGGGATGGTGGAAGAGATGCAGCTGCTGCCCCCGGTGTCCCCAACACCCCTGGTGTCCCCAGCACCCCCGGTGTCCCCAGCACCCCCAGTGTCCCCAGCCCTGGCATTCGCAGCTCTGTGAGGACCGAGGCCAAGCGCACACCAGGAATTCTGCTATTTCCCTTCCAGGGATGCCCGGATCCGCAGCTCTCTGCCGCAGCTGCTTTGGCCCCGCTCCTCACTTTCCTCCCTTGCCTCGTTTCCCCAGGATTTTCATCCCCAAGAAGCACCGGCAGCGCTTTGACGAGGTGGTGTCGCAGAGCCTCATCAGCAAGCTGTGCCGCTCCAAGAGCGAGCACAGCAACCGCCTGCGCCGCAGCCGCAGCGAGGACCACCAGGAGCGGCTGCTCGTGTCCACCCGGGCCAGCTCCGTGCCCCGCAGCCACGAGGAGCTCAGCAAGAGCCTCCGCAAAACCACCTCGCTCATCAGCAGCAATGTGGCCTCGGGGGCTGCCCGCAGGTAGCGCCTCCCCTGGGGTTCGTGTGGAGGGAAGAAAGGGAAGAGGTGTCAAACCCTCCCAGGGTCAGGATGAACACAAACCTCTCCCTCTGGAAGGCCGGGCAGCTTTGTGGCCCTTGTCCCAGCTCTGGGCACCCTCCGTGTCCCCCCAGCTCTGCAGGGATGGCTGGGATGAGCTGTGCGAGGAGCTGAGGTGGCGCTTGCAGGCTGAGAGGGGATGTCTGCTCCTCGCTGGGTGGATGCAGGCTGTCCCAGCAGGATCCGGGGTACCCAGCTGTGCCAGCAGGATTCAGGATGCCTGGTTGTCCCAGCAGGGTTCAGGATACCCAGCACAGAGCAGACTGAAAGGAGGTTGGAGCCAGCTTTGGGCTCTCTGGTCTCTTTTCCCAGGTAATGAGTGACAGGATGAGAGGAAACAGCCTCAAGTTGCAGCAGGGGGGTTTAGTTTGGATATCAGGGGAAATTCCTTCAGGGAACAGGTTCCCAAGCACTGTCACAGGCTGCCCAGGGCAGTGGTGGAGTCCCCGTTCCTGGAAGTGTTGAGGGAAGGGTGAACGTGGCGCTCGAGGACACGGCTCAGTGGTGAGCACGGAGCTGCTGCTGGCTTGACACTTGGATTTCATAATCTTTAAAGGTCTTTTCTGACCCTGAGATTCCGTGGCTTTCCTTGTCTGGCCCTGGCTTGCCCCAGCAGGTGTCTGGGTGCGAGGCTGAGGAGGAAGGACAATCCCTGGAGCACAGGGATTAACCCACTTGCCGTGCCCAGATGGCCAGACTGCAGCAGCCCCGTGGATCCTGCCCCAGCCAACAGGAGAGCAGGGGCTGGGGAGCTCAGGGTGCCAGGCTCCAGCCCACCCTCCTGCCAGGATGATTTCCATGTGTCTTGTCCAAAATCCACTCCCAGCACAGTCTCCCTCCCTCCCTGCCAGAGCAGGATCCCGCTGGTTGGAAATGATCTCAGTAATGCTGCCTTCCCCCAGCTCCAATCTGCCTCCCAGCAGGGAGATTTCCTAATGCTCCTTCCAAAATTTCCTAGAGGAATTTAATTCCTCTCTCATCAGCCAATGAGACCTTTGCTCCTTGAACCACATTGTCTCTCTAATTCTCTGCAACAAAGAATCACTGACTGGTTTGGGTTGGAAGAGCCCTTAAAGATCATCCAACCCCAATTCCCTGACTGGGGCGGGTCAGAACCAGATGATTTTGAGCTGTTATACATATATATATATATATATATATATATATATTCTTTAAATAGATATATTTATCCCATATTCCACTTTAGAACCACATTTACAGGACACTTTGGTATCAAAGGGGACCTTGAGGCAGCATTGGGAGCGTTGGGGACTCGAGTGCTCAGGAGAACCTGGGCTAACAGGGTTGTGGAGGGGCTGGGGAAGGAAACAAGGGCTGGATGTTGTACTCTGACTCCTGCTTGCCTTTTGCACCCACAGAACAGTGCGAGTTTATAAAGGCAACAGGAGCTTTGGCTTCACACTCCGTGGCCATGCCCCAGTGTGGATCGAGTCTGTCCTGCCAGGTAAGGACATGAGATTCTTGACCACTTCATGGTCTCTGCTCTGGACATGAACTGTTAAATGCTGTTTGCTAGAAAAGAGCAAAAGGGACTTTTCCAAGGCTCAGTGATGGAGTTTTCCCAGTGGAATAACGAGCACCTTTGGTACAATTTAGATTGGCTTTATCCACTCCTCATTTTGAGAAGTGGGAAATGTGTTCAGTGGCGATCCTGAAATGACACCAGTGCTCCCAGTGCAGACTGGACGCTGCACCCAGCTGGGTGAACAGTCCCAGCCCACCCAGATAAGCCAGGTGCAGGGGGTGCCCTGCCTGGGGGTGTCCCTGGGCCCCCAGCCCAGCCAGGGCTGCTGCAGCTGAAGCCCCTTTGTCCGTGTGCCTTCAGGGAGCCCGGCGGAGAAGGCTGCTCTCAAGGCTGGAGACAGGATCCTGTTCCTCAACGGCCTGGACATGAGGTAGGAGCTGTGCAGGGCACCCAGGGGCGGGGACAGGGGCTGAGCTCATGCTGTGGTCACTCTGGGGCAAGGGAAATGGGAGCTGCTGCTCCCCACGTGCTGCCCTGCACAGGGGTTTGCCCTGTGGGGACAGCTGGGACAGCTCCTTTAGTGCTCCTCTACAAAATGTGGCTCTAAGAGGAGCACTTTCCCCAGCCCTGCTCCTCCTCTGAGTTCTCTGTGCAGAACAGTTTATACAACCGGGGTTCTGACTGTCCCCAGACCCCAATTTCAGCCACTCTGAGTTAATCTGTGTTAAACACCTGAGGTTCTGCTTTGGAAAGCAGCAAAGCCCACGAATCACTCCCACAACGGGATCATAAGCTTAAAGCCACGTGGGAATCCCATTTGTACCCAGAAGTTCATTCTGTGCATTGTTTGTGCACCTAAGCAATGGGAGCAGAGGGATCCGTGCCCCTATCCAGGGCAGAGCAGCCCCTGTCTCCTCGGGTGTGTCCTTCTGCATAAAAACCAAGAGCAAAGGCTTGGAGGAGGCTACAGGACAAGAGAGAGTGATGAATATTTAAAGGTTAAACTGATGCTGCCTCTGTCAGGGCTCAGGTTCTCACGTTTCAGCTGATCCAGCGAACTGTTGGCTGATGCAGCACTGCCAGAAAATAGAGACCGGGTTGAGGATTGTCCTCTGAGCCGTGTTTTTGGCAGGCATTGTCCCAGCCTGGCCCATACCCTTCTCCAAGGGCATCCCAAGATTTTTTTCACCTACAAAATTAAACTTTATATTCACCTCGCATTTTCTTTTCGTGCAGAATTAGGACAGGCGAGGACAGACCTGCAGCGCTGTGTCATTTAAAGGAAAAATCATTTTCTGGGTCTGGGTGCAGTTTACCTCTCTCTTCCCGTGCCCTGACACTGCTGAGGGTGCCCACAGGCATTCCCACGGTTGTTCCTTGGTGCAGGCAGAGCGGGGAGCTCGCTCGTGGGGCAGGATCCAGGCTCTCCCTCCCTGCAGCACAGGGAAAACCGAGCAAAGCTGGAGAGAACCAGGGAATGGCACTGGGGACACACTCCCCTGGCTCTGAGCTGCACGGGGAGGCTTTTCCAAGATGAATGAAGCACGATGAGGACACAGCCGTGTGTCCTCAGCGCTCTCCTGGAGCTGGGGCAGCTCTGACCGGGCTCTCCTTTCCCGCAGGAGCTGCTCCCATGACAAGGTGGTGTCGATGCTGCAGGGCAGCGGGGCCATGCCCACCTTGGTGGTGGAGGAGGGCATCGTCAGCTTCTCCAACGGTGAGAATGCAGGGAGGAGGGGCTGGAGAGCCGAGACCCCGGGCCAGCTCCCGAATTCCTGCTGGAGGAGGGAATTGCCGAGAGCCTCCATGGGCTGAGCAGGTTTAACGCGCTGCCTGGGGGATGCTCCTCTCCCCGGGACACGTGGCCCCTTGCTCTGTGGGATCAGGCTGGATCTCAGGCTTGGCTGCTCTCCAGGAGGGCTCATCCTGCTGTGTGACTGTCCTTGGTGTCCCTTGTCCTTGCTGTGCAGCGTGTGCCGTGTCCTTGTCCGCAGTAATCCAACCCCTCGTGCCCACGGTGGCTGCGCAAATCCCGCGGCTCCGGGGGGCTGTGCCGGGCGGGGTTGTTATCCTGCCGCAGGAATCAATAATTGATGAGAGCTGAGGGTGTCTGGGGCAGTGCAGGGTGCCTGTGGAGGGCAGGATGTCCCCGTGGTCCCTGCTGCGCTTCCCGAGCTCCGCTGTGAGCTTGGGGTGCTGCTCCACGATGCACAGACCCGGGAGGCAGGGGCTGCCTCTTCCCTCTGGAGCAGCAATGGGATCCCCTCAGCCCCGCTGAGGAGCCCTGGGAACGCCCCAAGTGGTTTGCAGGTGGCTCCGCAGAGCCACAGCAGCCTGGAATGGTTTGGATTGCAAGGGACATTAGGGGTGATCTCGTTTCACCCCTCTGCCTTGGGCACGGATACCTTCCTCTAGACCAGGTTGTTCCAAACCCCATCCAACCTGACCTGCTTCAAAGCCAGTGCTCTCCAACTGCTCCACTGCCCCCAAAAGAAACCAAGGAAAGATGGAATATCTTTTTTGCAGACTCTGACTCTGCCGAGTCCCCGAGCAGCTCCTCGGCCCTCACCTCCCTGCAGTGGGTTGCAGAGATTCTCCCCTCTAGCATCAAGATCCAAGGAAGGACGTTCACGCAGCAGCTGGAGCACCTGCTGACCCCGCCCGAGCGTTTCACCGTCTGCAAGGCGCTGGAGGGCTTCTTCCAACATCGGTAACTCAGTGCCAGCTCCATCCTCCTCTGGGACCCCGCCCGGAGCAGTGCCCGTGCCAGGCTCGGTGTCAGGCACTGGCCTGGGCCCTGGGCTGGGGGCTGTCACAGGAGCTCCTCTGCTGTCACACAGAGCTCCTCTGCTGTCACAGGAGCTCCTCTGCTGTCACAGGAGCTCCTCTGCTGTCACAGGAGCTCCTCTGCTGTCCTGTGCTCTCCAGGTGCCCCAGCCAGGTGTCCATGAGCTCATCTCAGCCAGGTGTCCTGCCTGGGGACAGGGCAGATCCTTCAGGGTTTGGTTCCTTTAGGTTAATTTGGTCATGCCCCGGTCAGGCTGTCCCTGACAGCCACAGATCCTGTTCCACCTCCTTCAGTGAATCTCTCCATGCTCCATCCTTGTCTCCTCACTCTTCCCAGAATCTTGGCTGCAGCATTTCCTGGTGGCTGCACGGGAATGGCTGTGGCTGGCAGAGCCCTCATCCTGCCACGGAGCACATCCCCTGTCCTGTGCAGGGATCCAGCCACATCCCACTCAGATTTCATCAGTGACCTCGTTCCCTGCCCTTGCTTGCTCTTCCAGCAGTGTTTTCTCAGAGGCTGTCACAGAATCCTGGAATGATTTGGGTTAGAAGGGACCTTAAAGCCCATCCAGTGCCACCCCTGCCATGGGCAGGGACACCTTCCACTGTCCCAGGCTGCTCCCAGCCCTGTCCAGCCTGGCCTTGGGCACTGCCAGGGATCCAGGGACAGCCACAGCTGCTCTGGGCAGTGTGTGCCAGGGCAGAATTTCATCCTGTTGCAGGCTGTTCTATCCTGATGGGATGGGGTGCTCAGCCCTGCTACTCCCAACAGCCCTTTCCCCCCTCTACACACCAAAATCAGATGGAGCTTTGGCCCCAGGAGCTGCCAGCCCAGCCCCCCTCCCTGGTGCATTTCTCCCTCAGCCAGTTTACCTGCAGCTGGATAAAATTCAAGTCTTTCCAGGGCTTCTCTCTGCTTTCTGGTGCTCCCCCACCCCTCCTACTCATAGAATCATGGAGTCCATTAGGCTGGAAAAGCCCTCTGAGGCCACTGAGTCCAACCCAGCACTGCTGAGGCCAGCACTTCCCACGTCCCCAGGTGGGGACATCACATCCAGATGTTTTTAATGGCTCACCTCTGCAGTGAGGGAGCGAGCCCATGGCAAAGGCGAGGCTGGGCAGCGGCAGGAGGGGCTGTGAGGAGGGACACGCTCACTGCCCAGCCCTCTCCTCCTGTTTTGCAGGAACATTGACACTCTCATTGTGGATGTGTACCCGGTGCTGGACACACCGGCCAAGCAAGTCCTCTGGCAGTTTATCTACCAGCTGCTGACCTACGAGGAGCAGGAGCACTGCCAGCAAAAGATTGACAGGTTTCTGGGGTACAAGGCCTTGGCAGGTGAGAGGAAGTCCCCGCGCTCCGGGACGGACACACCGTGTCCTGGGAGCTCAGGCCATTGTCCTCGTGTCGTTTTGGAGCGAAGCTGCATTGAGAGGGAAGATGGATTGAGAGGGTGACTCTGGGAGCAAAGGCTTTTGGAAGCTGCTCAGGTCCTTAGAGGTGAGGAAGTCCAGGAAGGGAACAGCTGGTTTAAAGGCAGCGCTCAGATCAGAGAGGTAAAATAAGGGTGACGCAGCGTCGCTTGGGATGCCACAAAAACATCCGTGGTCGGAAGAGCTGGTGCTGCTTTCCCAAAAAGACACAAAGGCAGTTGGTGTTCCCCTTGTCCCTGGTCCCCTGTCCCCTCACCACCACCCTCACCTGGTTCTGTGGCAGCACAAAGCCAGAGGTGGATTGGGGAGAAGTTTGTTTTGGTTTGAAGTGAAATGTCCTAATCCGTGTGTTTGTGCTCTTAATCGCTTCCGCTTCTCCTGTTCTCAGTACTCACACAGATGTGTGAATTTTAGACTCAGCAAAGGTAGAAGAAGTGTTGTTTGAAGAGAGGCTTTTGGAGGAACACAGTGATTTTAGCAGAAAACAGGAACAGCTCCAAGTCCCGGTGCAAATCCTTCCTGTTGTGCCTGGGATCCCGTGCTCCGTGCACACTGGATCTGCTCACTGCATTTGTGCTCAGCCACCTCTGCTTTGTGTGTGCAGAATCACAGCTCAGCTGGGCTGTGCATTCCCAGGAATTCATGCCCTGTAATTAGTGTATAACCTAAGGAGCTGACAGGAATGCAGAGCAGGAATCCCCAGCCGGGGGAGGAGGGAAGCACAGGAGCAAATTCCCTGTCCCAGGCCGTGGTTCCCAGCTCCAGGCTGGTCCCTGGCTCCTCTCAGTGCCTCAGGTGAACGGGGCAGTCTGTGAGCATGGCCCATGGTCTGGTGTTCTGGTCCATTCTGTGTGTCTGTGTGTCTGCACCGTGCCCAGAGCTCTCTGCATTTGGGCTGCTCCTTCCTCTGCATCTGGGCTTCCAAACTCCGCTGATCTCCCGTGTCCCAGAGCTGCTCTGTCAGCTACCTCAGGGATGGATGCTCCATTCCCCCCATCCTGCTGTGAGCCTGAGCCTGTCCCAGCTGCCACACTGAGCTGTGCATGGGCTGTGTGCTCCTTCCAGGCAGCGTTCCAGGGCTGGCCCCACTTCCTTCTTTACCCTTGAGGGCAGGAAGGGTTTCCTGGGACCAGCCCAGCTCAGGGCTGGGGTTTCATGTGGGCCATGAGCTGGTGGATGCCAGTGCTGCTGGAGAAATGGACTGGGTGTCCCATCTGTGCATCCATCGCTGCCCAGTGCTGCCAGGGGCACCTGGAACCTGCTCAGCTCCCTGGCCATGGGGCGAGCGGCTACCAGGGAACGGCAGCTGCTGTGAGCCCCATGGGGCTGGGGGTTCTGGGGGGCTCTGGGGGGCTCTGGGGGTACCAGGGTGAGGAGGGGTGGGGAGCTGTGGGCTCTGGCTGTGCCTCACCGAGGTGTTTCCTGCTGCAGCTGAGGCAGAGGCTGAGGATCGGTACCGCAGCTCCGTCCGAGGGGCCTCCCTGTGCCGGGGCAGCCTCCGGACCCCCCGCCCTGAGGAGGGGGCAGCAGGTGGGTGACTGGGGACAGGGACCTGGGGGTTGTGACACTGCCTGCAGTGTCCTGCTGTGCCAAATTCCTGACCTGCTCCTAAGTGTGAACAATGGGAAAAGATGGAGGCGGAGGAGGAGGTCAGAGTAGAGCCAGCACGGAGGCACGGGCTGGAAATCCACGTTTTCAGAAACAGAATCACAGAATCACAGAATCATTTAGGTTGGAAAATCCCTCCAAGATCATTTGGTCCAACCTGTGACTGATCCCCACCTTTTCACCCAGCCCAGAGGTGCCTCGGACACCTCCAGGGACAGCGATTCCACAGTGAAAGAGCCAATTCAGTAAGAGGCTGAATGTTGTGTCCAACCCCTTCCATCACTCAGATGTGAACTGGTCCTGCTGGTCAGGGCCCTCCCTTCTGGGGGCAGCATTTATGGCTTCCCTCTGAACATTCTCAGATTCCATCAAATTCACAGGGAAACAGGGAAAACCACATTTGTGAAATCCATGTGAGGAAGGAGATGGTGGTTCAGGGCCACTTTGAGACTCTTGATGATCCCCATTGTGGCCCACCCCTCCCTCCCCTCGGGGACACACACCTGCCTGTTCCCATCCCAGCTGATGCTGAAGGACCTGTGCTCCTGACCACGACCTCCCCATCACCTCCCTGAGGACCTCCTGGCCATGTGGTGCTCCTCAGCTCTCAGGGGGGTCTGAGACATGAGACATTAGCGGAAGATCCTCTAACCTGGCTCCAAGGAGCTTTTCTGGTGGGGATTAGAGCACGGAGAGCAGCTGTGTGTGCTGGAGGAGCGGTGTCTGGGCAGATGCAGATGCAGCCCTGTCCTCAGCTGCCCCGAGGGCAGAGTGGAGCAGCCTGGAACCGTCGTGCTGACCTTAAACCCACCCTGCACTTCTCCCCAGGGACCCCCAGAGCCGGGAGCTGGGGCAGGGAGGTCACTCTGGGTCCCAGCAAGAGACAGGGAGCCCTTTGTGGGTCAGGGCTGTGGGGAGCTGGGGGTACAGAGGAGTGACTGCTTTGTCTCCCTCCCGCAGGCAGTGACACCGTGGAGGTCCCCGTTCGCCTGATCCCTGGGGAGAGACAGGCTGGTGATGGCACGTCCCTCCCGGAGACACCCAACCCCAAAATGGTGTGAGGGGGCGAGGGACACCTCTGGCAGGGCTTTGCCCACGGCTGTGGGGTGGTGTGTCCACAGGAAAGCAGTTTGAGCCCTTCACTGTGAACACAGGGCAGCAGGGAGAAGGGAAAGCTGTGTGTGGGGGTGAATACCTGCAGGGGCTGATGGTGTCCCTGCCTCAGAGCCCCTCTCTGAGGTCACCTCCCTGGGCAATTAGTCACCTTAATGAGGCTGATGTCTGCCAGTGTCTCCCTGCAGCCTCATCAGTGAGAGGCTCTTGGGGGGGCTCAGACAAGGCAGAGTGAAGCCCCCCTTTAAAGAGTCAGAGAGATGGGTCAGACTCATGAGAGACCCAGAATGGTTTGGGTCAGAAGGACCTGAAAGCCCACCCAGTGCCACCCCTGCCGTGGCAGGGACACCTCCCACTGTCCCAGGTGCTCCAAACCCTGTCCAGCCTGGCCTGGGACGCTGCCAGGGATCCAGGGACAGCCCCAGCTGCTCTGTGGGGACATGGCAGGTCTCTGGGGGTCCACAGCCCTGTCTGGGTGGGCATGGCAGCAGCTCTCTGTCCTTCTCCAGATGTCGGCTGTGTACGCAGAGCTGGAGAACCGCCTGATCGGGGGCTTTGCTGGCAAGATGGGCAACGCTGCCCTGCACAGGAGCTCCCCCCCCGCCCCGGAGCTGCCACACGCTGCAGGTACCTCCTGGGGACATCTCAGGTGACACTGGGTGGCGCTGGCCGGGCAGGTGGAGGAGAAAACAACCTCCTCTTGGTGCCATTTTATAGGGAGGCATGATGGTTCCGGGTGTGAGCACAGTGCTGGCTGCTGCAGGGCAGGGCTGTGTGCAGGGTTCTGCATCCCATGGGATCACTGCTGCATCCCAGGGGATCACTGCTGCAGGGCAGGGCTGTGTGCAGGGTTCTGCATCCCAGGGGACCACTGCTGCAGGGCAGGGCTGTGTGCAGGGTGCTGCATCCCAGGGGATCCCAGCTGCATCCCAGGGGATCCCAGCTGCTGCAGGGCAGGGCTGTGTGTGGGATGCTGCATCCCATGGGACCACTGCTGCATCCCCTGGGATCCCAGCTGCTGCAGGGCAGTGCAGCCGCTGCCTGGGAAGCTCCCTTGTCCCTCTGCTCCTTGTCGCGGTGCCCGGGACTGCAGGACGCCCCTGCAGCAGCCTCGGCTCTGTCCCGCAGGTGGCCGCAAGCCGGGGCTGGCGTGGCCGAGCGAGCCGCTGGCGACCCAGCCCTGCTACTACCGGCTGCACAGCAGCGTGGCCTCCCCGTGCAGCACCGAGTCCAACCCGTACGTGAGCCTGGACAGCAGCCCGGCCCCGTCGCCCAAGCACGGCGAGTACTCGCCGCTGTCGCGACGGAAGAAGCTCTTCACGTTCTCCAGGCCCCCCCGCAGCCGCGACACCGACCGGTTCCTGGACGCCCTCAGCGAGCAGCTGGGACACCGGGTCACCATCGTGGATGATTTCCTCACCCCTGAGAACGACTACGAGGAGGTGAGAACGGCGTGGGGCACCCCAGGGACCCGGGGGACACGTGCGGGACACTCCGGGGCGCTGGGGATGGGGGTGCCAGCCTCACCCCCCGCTCTGCGCCCACCCAGATGAGTTTCCAGGATGACCAGGGCAGTTACGTGACCAACGATGTCAGCAGCAGCGAGTACATCAGCAGCAGCGACGAGGGCAGCTCCCTGACCTACTCCACGCTCTCGGACCACATCCCCCCTCCTCCGCTCAGCCCCCCGCCCCCGCCGCCCCCCCTGCAGTTCCACGACCCCCAGACCGGCCCCAGCAAGGCGGAGGCCACCAAGGCCAGCTCGGGACCAGTCCCCAAGGCCCTGGTGAGCCACCTGCACCCCGTCCCTCCTCCTCCTCCTCCGCCGCCGCCGCCCCCCGTGCCCTGCGCGCCCCCCCTGCACCGGGGGCTGCTGCACCGCAGGAGCGACTCCAACCACATGAGCGTCAAGAGACTGCGCTGGGAGCAGGTGGAGAACTCGGAGGGGACCATCTGGGGACAGGTACGGCCCGTACGGGTGAGGATGGGGGTCCCAGCCGTGCCCTGGAGAGCAGCGACCTGCGCTGAGGCTCTGCAGGGCTTCCCTTCGTCCTTTAAACTGGAGCGAACTGGGGAGCGGGGACAGGCCCTGGAAACCCTCTGAGATGCTGATTTCAGCTACAGAGTCCCGGGGGGTTACCACAGCCAGGAGCTGCCTCCAGATGTGTTCCGCAGCTGTGGGGGGTTTCAGTGGGGAAGGATGAGGATGGCTGGAGCAGGGTGATGGGACAGCCCCGAGCAGGGCAGGACACTGCAGGGGACAGCAGAGGTGAGGGGTGAGACAAGAGATGGCAATCCTGTGGCATCGTGGACATGAAGTGGTGCGGGTGGATCCAATCCCTTCCCGGGGTTTAACTCCCGGTGCTCGGGACATGCCGTGTTCCCTGTGCCCTGGGCAGCCAGAGGGGAGCTGTGGGATCACCTTCCAGTCCCACAGACACTGCAAATCCTGCAGGTCCCTCTCCCCAGCACTCCGGGAAGGAAGCTGCTTCTTCACAGTGATTTTTCTGTGTGCTGAAACAATTCCTGAAGCTCCTGGAATTGCCATTTTATCCTTTAGCAAAGGGATCCTGTCCGAGGAGGGGGTGAAGACAGAGATGCTCTGTAGGATTTCAGCTGTGTCAGGAGCTGAGTGAAGCTGCAGGGCGGTGGCTCCAGTCTCAGGACGGTGCCCCCAAGCCTGTCCTGGTTCCTTCTGGGGACACGGAGCTCGGTGCAGGGGGGATGTGGCAGCTCAGGGGGGCACCGTGTGCCAGCACAGCTCCCGACCCTTCCTGCCCCACAGCTCGGGGAAGACTCGGATTACGACAAGCTGAGTGATATGGTCAAGTACCTCGACCTGGAGCTGCACTTCGGGACTCAGAAACCCACGAGTAAGTACTGAGCCCCAAAACAGCTCCTGCTACCAGCAGAGACCAGTGCTGGCTGGGAGGAACTGGGAGGGACTGGGAGGGACTGGGTGGGACTGAGAGGGTATGGGAGGGACTGGGAGGGACTGGGAGGGACTGGGGCTCGATGGGCAGCAAGGCAGTGCCTGTCTGTGACACCACCTGTGGCATGAATTTTGTTCATCCTCAGGATTTTGTGGCCGGTGGCACAGTGGATCATTAAGGAGGAGATGCTTTCATTATCTCCCTTAATTATCTCTGCTGCCATGATCTGTTTTCTCTCCACGTTTCATCGGGCACTGAAACCCGGCTGGAGGCTTTTACCAACTGCACTCCAGTGCTTGAGAGCTCTGGAAACGCTGAAAAAGCCATGAAAACATTCCTGTGTCCAAAGCAATCATCACCAGCAGCTCTTTGCTTTTTATCAGTGGATGCGTCCCAGGAGCAGTGATGGGTCTGGAGCTCTGTGCAGCCCCCACGGCTCCTCAGCTCCCACAGACCCACTGGCATCTCCCAGCCAGCAGCTTTTGGGTGCCACAAACCCAGAGCAGGGTCCAGGCTGGGGGTGTGGAGTGCTGGTGATCCCGGAGGGAGGCATTCCAGTAAAAACGTGGAATGTCTGAGCTCTCCTGGCACGGCCGCCATGCCCAGCTGGCAGTGGGTGAAATGGAACTCATCTCAGGGGACACTGTTTTTAGGATGTTTCTGAGCAGTCCGGGATTTTCTGTGTGTTTCACCTCTGGTTTTACCTTTTTCAGCACCAACTGAATTGGGGAGATCTTTGAATCGCAGAATTCAAGGATTCCTGGAGCCATTGCTGTGTGCAAAGCATCCGCTCTCCTCTCTCTCATTCATGGTTTCACTGTTTGCAGGACAGGTTTTCTCCCGCTGGAGCCGCCTGAGCCTGTCCTTACCCACCATTAAATCTTTCAGTTTCTCTTCCAGAGCCAACTCTCATGCCTGAAAACTTTAAAAAGAAAGACGTGGTTGAAATTTTGTCCCACAAAAAGGCCTACAACACATGTAAGTGAAGCCCACGGTGAAGGTAGCCACAGGTGGGATGTAGAGAACTGGAAAGGTAAAGGGGAGGAGCAGGAGCTCAATCCCATGGGCACGATCCCATGAGCCGAGCTCAGCTGGGATGGACTTTAGGAGCTCAATCCCATGGGCACCATCCCATGAGCCCGGCTCAGCTGGGATGGACTTTTCCTGCAGCCCAGAGCTGCCCCAGGCTGCCTTCAGCCCCGGGCAGGGGAAGGAGGGAGCTCTCTGGGGAAGGATGGAGATGGGATGTGGCTCCCTGTCCTGGGCAGGGGCAGTGGAGGGGCACTGCTGCTTCTCCAGGATGTGCTTCAGGTAGGGAGGAGGGTGGGGGGGCTTGGTGGGACCCCCCTGCCAGGGACCCCTCCCCGGCTGGGTGTGGGACCAGAGCCACCCGTGGTGTCCCTGTGAGGCCTGTGCAGGTCCCAGGGAGTGATGGGCAGCCCAGGGCTGTGCCTCTCCCTCGGGGGCGAGGTTGATGTCCCGGCAGTGACGGTGTGTGCCTCCCTCCCCAGCCATCCTGATCGCCCACCTGAAGCTGTCGCACGTGGAGCTGCGGCGGATCCTCATGACCATGGAGACGGATCGCCTGGAGCCGTCCCACATCAAGCAGCTCCTGCTCTACGCCCCGGACGGGGAGGAGGTGCAGCGCTTCCAGAGCTACAAGGAGAACCCCGGCAAGCTGAGCGAGCCCGACCAGTTCGTGCTGCAGGTGCTGGGCAGGGGCGTGCTCCGGGAGAGGGGCTGTGTGTGCCCTGTCCCTGCAGCAGGACACTCACACCTGCTGTCCCTGACACACCTGGGGTGTCCCTGACACACCTGGAGTGTCCCTGTCACACACCTGGTGTCCCTGACACACCTGGGGTGTCCCTGTCACACCTGGGGTGTCCCTGACACACCTGGAGTGTCCCTGACACACCTGGGGTGTCCCTGTCACACCTGGAGTGTCCCTGTCACACCTGGGGTGTCCCTGTCACACCTGGGGTGTCCCTGGCACACCTGGAGTGTCCCTGACACACCTGGGGTGTCCCTGTCACACCTGGGGTGTCCCTGACACACCTGGGGTGTCCCTGTCACACCTGGGGTGTCCCTGACACACCCCTGGGGTGTCCCTGTCACACCTGGAGTGTCCCTGACACACACCTGGGGTGTCCCTGACACACCTGGGGTGTCCCTGTCACACCTGGGGTGTCCCTGACACACCTGGGGTGTCCCTGTCACACCTGGGGTGTCCCTGACACACACCTGGGGTGTCCCTGTCACACCTGGAGTGTCCCTGACACACACCTGGGGTGTCCCTGACACACCTGGAGTGTCCCTGACACACCTGGAGTGTCCCTGTCACACCTGGAGTGTCCCTGACACACCTGGGGTCCCTGACACACCTGGGGTGTCCCTGACACACCTGGGGTGTCAATGTCACACCTGGAGTGTCCCTGACACACACCTGGAGTGTCCCTGACACACACCTGGTGTCCCCACACCTCACACCTGGGCTGGGAGGAGCTGGTGGCTCTGGGACAGTGGGGGTGGTGCTGGGTTGATTCCCGAGGGGTCTGGCAGCTCGCAGGGGCTGGGTTTGAGGTGCAGAGCCAGCAGCACCTTGGCTCCCTGCTGCCAGTGACTCTGCCCAGCTCTGATCTATTCTCTGTTCTCAGCCAGCCGTGGGTGTGGGTGTGGGTGCACCCATCCCATCCCAGCCCAGCCACCCCAGAGCTGTGGCTCCTGCTCGTGCCCGGGCCAGCAGGGCAGGGACAGCCCGGGCAGGAGGGGCTGTGCTGCTGGGGATGGTGACCCTGCCCTCCTCCTGCCCCAGATGCTGGCCGTACCCGAGTACAAGATCCGCCTGCGCAGCCTGCACTTCAAAACCACCCTGCAGGAGAAGACCGAGGAGATCAAAGCCAGCTACGACTGCATTTGCAAGGCCTCCCTAGAGCTGAAAAGCAGCAAGAAGCTGGCGAAGATCCTGGAGGTCAGAGCGGTCCCTCCCTCCACGGTCACCCTCAGCGTCCCACAGCAGCTCCCACGGCAGCTCCAGCCCCTGGGAATGTCCCACACCTGGGCACCCCCACACTGCCCATCCCCTGAGGAGGGGTCTCTGGGCTCCTGGGATGGACCAGAGAGAACAAACCCCACTGCAGTTCCTCCGTGACCCTCCGGAGATGAGCTGTCCCAAATTGCTGTTAATTCATTCGGTTTTAACAAAAAAAGGCAGGTGGGATAAACGAGGTCGCCGTGTGCTCAAAGGCATTTGCAGATGAGTGATGAAACTCCTGGCCAGTGACCCCCCAACAATTCCTGAAATCCTTGGGGACAATGTTTGTCTGCACATTGATGGGTGGAGAACAGGAATTCAGAGTCCCAGGAGATGGGAGATGGGGGGACACGGCTGCAGGAGGCCACCAGCCCCTCATTCCCTGGTTTCCTCTTCCCAGTTCGTGCTGGCCATGGGAAATTACCTGAACAACGGGCAGCCCAAGACCAGCAAAACCACAGGATTTAAAATCAACTTCCTCACCGAGGTAAGGAGAGCCAGCCTCGCTCCTGGGGCAGAGGCACCGCGCTGGGAGCTCCCTGTGCCCACGAGCTGCTCTCACAAGAGACCCCGGGGAGCCAGAGAGGGGTGCAGGGGGCTGGGTTGATGCACAGGGGGCTTCAGAGAGGCTCTGCTGTGGGTCTGGGGTCCTGCCTGCCTCAGCCAGGGCCCAGCTGTGGGTGGGAGCAGGTCCTCACCCCACAGGGGCTGCACTGGGGCTCCTGAGGGGTGGGGACAGCCCTGGGCTGCAGGAAGGGACATCTCCACGCCACCAATCTGGGCACACGTGGTGTGGCACCGTGGAATGTCCAGTTTAACCATTAACCACGGGAGCTGGGTCAGGGGGTGTGCAGGGGGGTCCTCACTTGTTCTGCTTCGCTGCAGCTGAACACCACCAAGACTGTGGATGGGAAATCCACCTTCCTGCACATTCTTGCCAAATCCCTCAGCCAACACTTCCCAGAGCTCCTGGGCTTTGCCAAGGATCTTCCGACAGTGCCGCTCGCTGCCAAAGGTAAAGGAGCGTGTGGCTCCGGGTTTGGTTTGGGTCTGGGGTCAGCCAGGAGCTGCTCAGCCTCGGCAGGAGCAGGATGGGAGCCAGAACAAGTGAGGAGCGGTCCTGAGCAAGAGGAGAGCTCAGTGACAGTGAGGTGCCACCATCCCACGCTGCCACACCTGGCGCTGGCACACACGGGGCTCTGTCCCCTGCCCTGCCCTTCCCTTCTGACCCAAAACCCCGGCTCCCAGCTTCAGAGGCACGGTGCGAGTGCAGAGGAGGCACAGGGAGCCCAGGTGCCCGGGGATGGCGTGCCCCAGCCTCCATCCAGGTGCCAGCACTGCCATGGTCAGTGTGGAGCAGAGGGAGCAGCACCTCGGGGAGGGGTCACAGGTCAGTCACAGCTGTGTCGTGTCGAGTAAGGACCCAAAGCTCCATTTTCTGCAATAAAAACCAGTCACACACATTCTGGAGCTGCTCTCCACCCACTGCTGCTGTGGTGCTGCTCAGGTGTGACACAGGACACGGCCTCAGGCTGTGCCAGGGAGGCTTAGGTGGGGTTTTAGGGAAAATTCCTTCCTGGAAATGCTGCCCAGCCCTGGCACAGCTGCCCAGGGTGGAGTTCCTGTCCCTGAAGGGATTTAAAATCTGTGTGGCTGTGGCACTTGGGGACAGTGCTTGGTGGTGGCCTTGGCAGTGCTGGGGGAGCAGTTGGACTGGATCACCTGAGGGGGCTTTCCCAACCTAAATGATTCCACGATGCTGTGATTTTAAATGAAGCACTGAATCTCTACAAAGCACGAGCTGCTTTCCCTTTGCACACCATCCCCTGCTGTTTGTGAGCAATTCCCTTGGGAATTAGTGCTACAGTGGATAAATAAAGGAGCAAATTCCGGCCTGGAGCTGTAAATTTCCACTTGAGGAAGGTCTGTACCTGGAGCTTTCCCAGCTGGAATTTGTATCTGGCCTAACTCTTAAATAACCCTTCTGTCCCTGGAGGCTGCCCAGACTCCTGCCAGTGTGTCCCCCCTTGTCCTGCTGTCCTGTGTCCCTCCTGTCCCCTCCCAGGCGTCCCTCGCTGTGAGTCCCCTGTGCTCCCTGTCCTTGGAATGTTCCAGGCTCCTTTTGGCACTCCTGCCTTCTCCAGCTGTGAGCAGCAGGAGCTCCTGGTACCTCTGGTCCCAGCAGGACGCTCTGGTTGTCCAGCCTGCCTGGACAGCAGGACACTGGTGCTGAGCGGTGCGGACAGACAGACAGACAGACAGACAGACTGACCCCCGGCCACGGGAACACAGCCAGGCCCCGTGTGCCAGCCCTGCTCTTGTCCTGCAGTGAACCAGAGGACGCTGACAGCCGAGCTGAAGGAGCTGCACAGCACGGTGAGTGACATCCAGAAGGCCTGTCACAGCATGCCGGCCACCACCGAGGACAGGTTTGCCATTGTCATGAGCGTATCCTTCCTTGGGAGGGGACATCCCCGGGGGAACCTGCCGTGCCTCGGGGGCTCCTTGCACAGCCAGGGCTGGCTCTGACCCCGTCCCTCAGCTCCCCCCAGCCCTCAGCCAGGATGTTTTGGTGGCACAGCCCCAGTGCCACACGCCAGGGAACGTGCTGGGACATCTGTCCTTGAGAGCTGTGCTGGCAGCAGCTCCACACGTGCCTGTGCAGCGGCTCCCCGCTGCCAGCCGGGCTGGAACCCAGCCCTGTGATAAGAGATCGATAAGGGCTCCTGATCCCTGCCATGGAGCAGCTCTTTGTCCTTAAGCCGGTTCCTGCAGTCCTTCCTGGAGAGCGCCCAGCCTGCCATGCGCTCCCTGGACGACCTGCAGCACAAGGCCATGGAGGAGTTCAGCAAGGTGCTCTCCTTCTTCGGGGAAGACTCAAAAATGACAACCTCTGAATCCTTCTTCGGCATTTTTGCAGAGTTCATGAGCAAGTTTGAGGTGAGTTGAAGCTTCCCAGGGGGTTTTCCAGCAGGCAGTGTCAGTGTTATTTGTGTGGGAGTGGTGGGAGCGGGATGGGATTTTGTGAGCAGCTGTACCTGAGTAAGAGGCTGCTGATGAGGTGGAATTTTTCTGACATAAAAATCATCTGGCCAGGGTGGGACACTGGGGGAGGCCTCAAGAACAAGGCCCAGGGGACAGTGATGTGATTGTCCATAGAATCCTGGAATGGTTTGGGTTGGAAGGGACCTTAAAGATCACCCCACGTCCCAACCCCTGCCACGGGCAGGGACACCGTGCACTGTCCCAGGGGTGCTGCAAGCCCTGCCCAGCCTGGTCTTGGATGCTTCCAGGGATGGGGCAGCCACAGCTGCTCTGGGCACCCTGAACTCGCCGCTGTCCCCACACTCAGCGTTCCCTCTCTGTCCCACAGCGGGCTCTCAGTGACGTGCAGGGGGGCGAGAGCCAGCGCAGCCCCAGGATGACCTCTCCCCTGGCCTGGTGACGGCCTGTGGCCACCTGAGGTGCAGCAATTCATTGCCAACAAAGTGCAATTTGCTCCTGTCCAGTCTGGTTGTAAATACGCTGCTGCCACCTGCTACCACCCAGCGGAGTCACGGACAGAGGGGTCGGGGCAGGTGGACACTGAGAAGGCACCGCAGGTGACAGAGGGTGACGTGAGGGTGACACGAAGATGAACCCTGCACTGCTCCTGGCAGAGCTTCCTTAGCACCCTCCATTTCCAGGGGATCACCGAGCCAAGGGCTTCGCTTCCATCTGGTAAAACCCCACTGTCCCGTGTTTCCCAAACACCTGGAGCTGGCAGCAGCAGCTGCTGGAGACCTGCCCCACACCACTGTGGCCACCATGGCCACCCCATGGCCACCTGCCCCAGGCAGCCTTGGGGTGGGGCAGAGCCCAGCCACAGAGTCCCTGGGAAGCCAGAGCAGGTCAGCACGGGGACATGAGCAGGAGGGCGGCCACCTCCAGCTCCTCTGGGACCCTGAGGATGCTGCTGAGTCCCCTCCAAGCCCTTCTGCCCTGGGGCAGAGCACGTGGGGCTGCAGCTGCAGCTGACCTCGCGGTGACAGTGGAGCAGAGATCCCTGCAGTTGGCCTGGAAGCCTCAATTCCCTTCCACTGCCAGCCAGTGGCAATGGAAAGCAGCAGGGCCTTGCAGAACCCTCCTGGCACGTCCGTGTGGTCCCAAGGACGGATCCGCTCCCATCCTTCCCAGCTCACAGGTCCTTCCTGGCCCCCAGCTCTGCCTGACGCCGTGCCAGAGGCTGACGGATCTTGAAACCTTCCCAAAGCCTAACACCATCAGCACGAGGTTATTGGAACTCGCCAGCAGACAGCCCCGAGCATTTGGATGCCTCCTTGGAAAGCACAGAATCCCTGAGAGCCTAAAAACGAGCAGGAGTCCTGTGCAGCCCCAGTGCTGCTGCGAGGCACGGCAGAGGCAGAGGGGGACACATCCCCTGCCCTGCAGTTCTGAGAGTCCCTTTCCTGCAGGACCAAATCCCATGGGGAATATCCCAGGGAACTCCACAAGTGTCCAGGGCCACCTCCCAGTGTGCACAGCCAGCCCCAGTGTGCACAGCCAGCCCCAGTGTGCACAGCCACCTCCCACACCCATCTCCCACCTCCCACCTTGCACACCCACCACACCCCTGTGTCCCACCCCTGGCTGTCTCTCAGCTGTCTGGATGTCCCTGGGATGGAGAGACAGCATCCCCCTGCCCATGCACACTCCTGTGGGGGCTCTGGTTCCCACCAGCTCCTGCAGGTGTTTGGTGAGATCCCCGTGTGTGGTTTGGTGAGATCCCCGTGCGTGGTTTGGTGAGATTCCTGTGCTGGGTTTGGTGAGACCCCTGTGCTGGGTTTGGTGAGACCCCTGTGCTGGGTTTGGTGAGACCCCTGTGCTGGGTTTGGTGAGACCCCTGTGCTGGGTTTGGTGAGACCCCTGTGCTGGGTTTGGTGAGACCCCTGTGCTGGGTTTGGTGAGACCCCTGTGCTGGGTTTGGTGAGACCCCTGTGCTGGGTTTGGTGAGACCCCTGTGCTGGGTTTGGTGAGACCCCTGTGCTGGGTTTGGTGAGACCCCTGTGCTGGGTTTGGTGAGACCCCTGTGCTGGGTTTGGTGAGACCCCTGTGCTGGGTTTGGTGAGACCCCTGTGCTGGGTTTGGTGAGACCCCTGTGCTGGGTTTGGTGAGACCCCTGTGCTGGGTTTGGTGAGACCCCTGTGCTGGGTTTGGTGAGACCCCTGTGCTGGGTTTGGTGAGACCCCTGTGCTGGGTTTGGTGAGACCCCTGTGCTGGGTTTGGTGAGACCCCTGTGCTGGGTTTGGTGAGACCCCTGTGCTGGGTTTGGTGAGACCCCTGTGCTGGGTTTGGTGAGACCCCTGTGCTGGGTTTGGTGAGACCCCTGTGCTGGGTTTGGTGAGACCCCTGTGCTGGGTTTGGTGAGACCCCTGTGCTGGGTTTGGTGAGACCCCTGTGCTGGGTTTGGTGAGACCCCTGTGCTGGGTTTGGTGAGACCCCTGTGCTGGGTTTGGTGAGACCCCTGTGCTGGGTTTGGTGAGACCCCTGTGCTGGGTTTGGTGAGACCCCTGTGCTGGGTTTGGTGAGACCCCTGTGCTGGGTTTGGTGAGACCCCTGTGCTGGGTTTGGTGAGATCCCCCTGCAGAGCATCCTTTGCCTTCCGAGCCCGCAGCAAGCGCAGTGCAGCTCCTCCCTCCCTCCCTCCGCCCGAGGCCAGAGCAAGGGCTCGTCCTGCAGCCTCAAGGACACAATCACCAACCGGTGCATTACTCATGGGAGACCTTAGCACCCTCAAACCTCCGGGTTTTGGTATTTTTTTAAACCCCTCTGTAGAAAGTGAAGTATATTTTCACAAGTGTTCTCCGTTTATACAGCTTTAAGTGCCAGGTAGTGTTCCCAGAGGTCCGGGACAGGGCCACGCTCCCTCTGCTCCTCTTTCCCTTTTGGATGTTGCACACTGCATTCCGTTGATTTATTTATTTTTTTCTTTTTTAAAAACATATCCAGTATTTAAACCACCGGTTCTTTTGAAACTGTCCCGACAGAAGATGCTGTACATAGATTTTGCTACATGTTGTAACTTTCTGAAATAGTTAGAACTCCAATCCCTTTGGTATTTTTATGTGAATATTTTCAAAGAGCCAGAGCTCCTGGTGATATGATTTGATAACGGGACGATGTATATTCACAGTTCAGTCTCTACCCAATGCCTATGTGCTATTCCTAAAATAAAGCTACTGCCTTCTGCCTCCTGACTGCACAGACCTCTGTCTTCTGTCCAGAGCTGCTGCTGGTGATGGTGTGAGGAGTTCTGCCCTTGTCAGTACCCCGACACCTGCAGGCTCTCACCTGCCTGGGCTGGGGCTGGTACGGAATCACTGCCTGAAGGAGCTTCCTGCACCACAGCATGCAGGCTGGAGGAATCAAAATGAGCAGCAAATTCTTAAAATAGTATGGATTTTTAACTCCAGCCTTCAGAAGAAAACATTTTGTGAACTGTGTGAGGCAGTGAATTGTTTCCCTCTGAACAGGAATTCTTGGCTGTGGTTGAGTTTATGTCCCGGGGTGATTTATGAGAGCAGGAGATGGGGAGCAGCTCGCTGTCAGGTGCTGAGGTTTAGCTGGTTCACAGCAGCCTGCTCGAGCCCTGGAGGCTGGAGCAGCTCCGTGCAGAGCCACCCACAGTGTCCCTTCTGCGTCCCCTTCCCTGGAGCTGCTGAAATCACCAGCACAGGATCCCCAGGGCTGCAGATTCGGTCACCTCCAGTGGTCCCATGCAACCTGACCCATCCTGAAATTCCATTTGAAGTGCTCAAACTCCTCCTGCCCCCAGCCCCAGGGATGGCTGTCACAGCTGCACTGCCCATAAACCAGCAGGGAATGATCCAGAGCCTGCGTTCACCACGTCCCACCCCACACTCACACCCTTCCCTGCACGCTCCCCTTCTCCTGGGCTCTGGAAACTTTTTGGCAGACACGAGGTAATTCCTGCCCAGAGCCGGCACCTTTGAGCCTCACACAGAATTCCTGCGTCAGCCCTGACCACGGGATCATCCTCACAGGAAAGCCTGTCCTTGGAAAGGAAATAACAGCTGGGGCAGCAGCCGGGGGCAGCGCAGGGAATGCAGCCACGGCTGCTCCTGCTCCACCGCTTCCATCCCCTGGCACACCCCGGGAAACCGTGTCCCTGAAAATCCCAGGTTACATTCCAAACCTCAGAGGATTGAGGGATTTCATTCTTTCCCGCAAGAAGAGAGGAAAAGAGCAGCTAGAGCACAGTCAGGGTGGATCACAGCCAGCCAAGTTTGTACCAGGCACCTCCAAGGCGAAGTGGAACCACCAGGGAACCCTCCCTCTCAGTACCTTGATTGTGGCTTGAAGGACCACGATCTGTAATTATTCTCCAGGTGCTATAAAAGATGCCAAAGGGACAAAGAAAGAGCTTCAGCCTGGAAGGGCTGGAAGTCAGGGGAGAAAAGGTGGCATAGACTGGGAGGCAGCACGAGGCACCTGGTGCTGCATTTGCAGCCCTTGAGGATCCAGCTTTAGGAAAATTTGGGGTTTCCAAATGATAGCAGATCAAATGAACACATCTCCAATTGCAAGACTCAAAGAGTTACAGGTGTGTTCATCAGGGCTGTGGCCGGGAAGCAAGGAGAGAAAATACAGACACCGATTTTTTCATGGAATCATCAAGTTTGCACTGGAAGAGACTTCGAAGATCATCCAACCCTAAACCCCACCATGGGCAGGGACACCTTCCACTGTCCCAGGCTGCCCTGAGCCCTGTCCAGCCTGGCCTTGGACATTTCCAGGGATGGGACAGCCCCAGCTTCTCCGGGCACCCTCCCAGGAAACAATTTATTCCCAATATCCCATCCAGCCCTGCCCCTGGCAGGTTAAAACACACCCTTAGCAGGTCACCTACAGTAAAATCCCTGTTGGAAACTTCAAGGCTGGGCCATGGTCAGGTTTGTGAGGTCACAGTGCCCGTTCTCCATCCACCCCCAGGCCCACCTGCCCACCTGCCTGGGGATCTGTGCACCCCAGTTCCAGGGGTTCTGGAGCTGCCTCCTGCCACGCTCACTGTGCCTGAGGTTCCTCTTTGGCATCACTCTCGCTGCGCTCTGGCCCTGGTGGTTTGTCAGGGTTTTCAGGGAGACGATGCTGCCTGAACGAGCTGCAGCTCGTTCCCAGAGAGGGACTCGGTTCTGGGATTAACCTGCAGCCTCAGCAGCGTGTTACAAACCCCAGCCCACGGATGGATCCTGCGCTCTGGGAGGCTCAGGCACAAACACAGAGACAGGACCGGCTGTCAGCTCCTCCCTGTGCCACGGGCTGTCAGCTCCAGAGGACATCAGCCCGGATTTTTTATTGTTCTGTGTCCCTTGTATAGCAGCACAGATTGCTTAAGAGAATGGCACTCCGTGGAGTTTGACCCGGGAGCCCTGATAGTGAAAATAATGCACTTCTCACCAGAGCCACGGGAGACCAAAAGAGTAACTTCGGTCAATTAGTTTAACTTTGACTATAAATATTCCTTCTCATTCCTTGTGACCCTGTTAACAGCTCCGCTGGCAATCCCCGATTCTCTGGCAATATTTAAGCTGCCTGTCAGTTGGCAGAGCCCTGCTGGTGCCCGGCGCGGGGAGCAGAATAAGACCCGGCTGAGCGCAGTAAGTTCCCTTTCAGCTTCTTCCTCGAGTCGGGAGCTCCGTCGGGTTCGGGGCTCTGCCGGGCTGCTCTGGGCCCCGGCGAGCCGCGGTGGCCGGAGGAGGTGGATGGAGCCGGGAATGCTTTAAAAACTGCCCCGAGGAGGCATTTGGAGCTCGGCGGTGCCCCGGGTTACTCGGGAGCCACGTGTGCTGCATCCCCCGGCGCTGCTGATACACGGCCGGCTCCAGCAGCTTCATTCCCATGCTTCGGATGTTCCTTCCTCACAATCTCTGGCGAGGAAAGCGCCGCCGCCTGTGCCAGGCACCGGGGGACAGCGGGCCGTGAGCTGAATTCACAAAGCGGGCAAAATTTCCACTGGGCCACGGCGGAGTCGGGATCCGGGAACCCGCGGAGCTTTCCCCCGCCGGGAGGAGCCGGAGCTGCGATCCGGGAATGTCCGTGCAGGGCACAGCAGGTGCTGCAGAGCTGTCCCCTGTCCGCACACCTTCCCGAGGGACAGGCACTGTGCAGCTGTGCCCAGCCGTGCCCAGCCGTGCCCAGCCGTGCCCCGGTGTGTGTGTGGCTGCAGCTCCGGCCGTGCCGTGACCCGAGCTGGATTCGGGTGATCCCTGTGGGTCCCTCCCAGCTCAGGAGATTCCCCGGCTCTGTGGCCCCACGGGTCCTGAGGTGGGAACTGTGCCGGGATGGGAGCAAACAGCGGTGCCAGGGGCTGGAGGTGTGGGAGTGGGGTTAGCAGCTTCCCCAGGCTGACATACCAGACCCTGTTTTTCCGTTCCTAGTTAGAGATTAAACGTGCCAGTAAAAACTCCACAGCAGCCAAGACACATTGGCCCTTAAAGAGGTGAGATAGCAGCGGTCTGGTCACCAGTGCCCCGCATCCCTGCCAGGCAGGAGCTCACCAGGGATCCAGGGGGTTTGGAAAGCATGGAAAAGGCTCTGCCGAGGTGCTGAGTGTCCCCAGTCCCAGCCTGGTGCTGGGACCACTGTCCCCAAGCAGATCATGGCTCTCTACCACCTCTGGCCCTTCTGGCTGCAGTCAGGACACAGCTCCCAGCCGTGGGAAGCAGGTGCTGGGGTGGTTCCTGCTGCTGGAAGCTCCTTATTTATTGTCCAGCCTTTGGTGAGTGGCGAGCCCAGCGATGCTGCAGGACATGGGGCAGCTCCTGCATCCTGCAGCTCCTGCATCCTGCAGCTCCTGCGTCCTGCAGCTCCTCCATCCTGCAGTTCCTCCATCCTGCAGCTCCTGCATCCTGCAGCTCCTGCATCCTGCAGCTCCTGCATCCTGCATCTCCTCCATCCTGCAGCTCCTCCATCCTGCAGTTCCTCCATCCTGCATCTCCTGCATCCTGCAGCTCCTCCATCCTGCAGCTCCTCCATCCTGCAGCTCCTCCATCCTGCATCTCCTCCATCCTGCATCTCCATCCTGCAGCTCCTCCATCCTGCATCTCCATCCTGCAGCTCCTGCATCCTGCAGCTCCTCCATCCTGCAGCTCTGCTCTGCTGCTCTCCTGCTTCAGCAGCCCCACAGTGCCACCAGGGCAGGAGGGTGGCCAAGTCCCCAAGGCCACAGGTGAGCCGAGGGCAGGTCCAGCTGCAGCTCCACACCTGGACAAAGGGTGTTGTGAAACCCTGGGCCAGGAGGCTGCCCCGGCCCGGCTCTGGGAGCTCAGAGGAAGAACTTGTCGGACCGCTTGTCATCCGAGCGCCCGTGCCGCTGTCCCTGCCACACCTCCCGCAGCCCTTGGGCAGGGGGCAGCCTATAAGGGTCCCCTGGGCAGGGCGAGAGAGGCCGAAGGACGGATCTGCAGAGGCACCGGCAGGGCCAGGGCGTGCGGGGACCCCGGGGCTGGGGACTGCTCCGCTCGGGGGAAGCCTCTCCTCGGCTCAGCAGGGTAAGAGGAACGATCCCAAACCTGCTCTGTGCGGCTCTGGGGGATCCCTGGGGACCGGCTGTGCCACTGCAGAGCCAGGGACTGCCCGAGGTGGCCCCGGCCGCCGCTCACCTCCTGTCCTGCCCTCCCAGTGTGGCTGAGCTGAGGGAAGGAGGAAATGGGCAGGAACTGCATTAATTCAATCACCCGACCAACCTCCCTGCCTGGACTTTATCCTGCCCCTTCTGCCAAGGGCCAGCACCACGGGATGCTCCAGGGAGCCCGTCCAGGGATCCTGCAGTGATGCCACCATCATCACCATCAGGGGTTTCTGGAGCAGAAATGGGGTTTTATATTCCTTGGTGACACGATGCCAGTCTCTGTTGCTGGTAAGGAGCAGGGGACAGTTCCCCGGCTCAGGAGGAGACCCAAGCTCTGCACAGGGCTCGAGCTCTTGCTGTTGCAAAGAAGGAAAATGCCAGCGCTGCCGGGGCTCTTCACGTGCCCTCACATTCTGCTGGCGTGTGAGGGACACGTTCCTGGCTCCTCACTGGGGCCAGTCCTGCAGTGCTGCCACCCTGGGGTCCCCAGGCTGTAACCCCCAGCTCTGCTCCTTCCCTCTGCCTGTTCCAGCTGTTTTCACCTTCTCTCTAATGCAGCCATTTCTCACCAGTGAGAAAATCACACGAGAAATCCCCGACCCGCCTGGCCTGGCCGCTGAGCAGCCAGGGGGTCGTGCCTGAGGGCAAAGGACAGAGACAGGAGCCTTCCCCAGAGCTCTGAGCAGCACCTCAGGACGCTGAAACCCTCAAAGAGCCACGGCCACCTCCCTGGGGCTTTCCCTGGCCACCCACCCATCCTTCCACAGGTGCGTGTGTCAGGCCCCAGGAGCGCTCAGCCATGGATGTCACCAGCGTGCCCCCAGCCTCTGTGACCCCCTCGTGGGATGTGTTCCCCCAGCAGACCCTGGAGCCCGTGGACATCGCTGTGCTGGTGCTCTATTTCCTCTTTGTCCTGGCCGTGGGGCTCTGGGTGAGCAGTCTCTCGTTGGACACTTTGTGTGTGCCCTGCTGGGCTGGGAAACGCGGCTGCTTCGGCCTCAGGTTGTTTTGCTCTGGCTGGAATCGGGCTGCTTTTATCTGGACTCAGCTGAACAAGTGGAGGGGGGAGTTTACAGGTCCTTCTCCTCTCCCCAGCCTGGGAAGTGTCCTCTGTGTCCCTGGGGAGGGCTGCCCAGGCCTGTGTCAGGAAGGTTTTCAGAACCCTTGCGAGGAAGAGGCTGTCTGAGTACAAAGTCTTGCTAACAATGATGTTTTGTTCCTTCAGGAAGGAATCGCTGTCCTATAAATCACCTGTGCCTGTCCACAGGGGTCCTGACAGCAGATTCCTTAAATTATTAACATGGTCTATATATAATCAAGGCAGAAGGACATCCTTGGGCATGGCTTTTGTGACAGCCTGGCTGTCGGGAGGCAGAGGGGAATAGCTGCTGCCTCTGGACGTGGTGCACAGCTCTCAGGGTATTGCATGGATCACCTCTGGGGAAGGGAGGTCACACGTGCAATGCCCAGTGCTCCTCCCGAGCCCTCCTGGTGCCCAGGGATTCCACAGCTCTTGTCCAGAACCGCTCACCTTCCTTTCTGCCCCGGAGCGATTGAGTTCGCTCACTGCACAAAACATTCCGAGGCGATGGAAAACTTTGTGAAAGCCGCAGCCCCCAGGGTTTCCAGCAGCGAGTGTCCCTCAGGAGAGGTTTCTCTTTCAGCTGCTGGCAGCTCAGGGGCTCTGCTGGGGACGTCTCTGGGTGAGGCTGACCCGTGTCCCCCTCTCTGTGCCCGCAGTCCATGTGGAAGACGCAGCGCAGCACCGTCAAAGGCTATTTCCTGGCCGGGGGACAGATGGCCTGGTGGCCTGTGAGTATCCCTGTCCTCCCCTGTCCTCCCCTGTCCTCCCCTGTCCTCCCCTGGCCACTCCTGTCCTCCCCTGCCCTCGGTCCTGCCCTGCAGCCACGCTGCCAATCGCTCCTGCTCGGGCACAGCCCCCTTCTCCAGACAGGAATAAACAAAAGTTCCTCCCGTGTTCTGCCAGTTCTGTATTGGCTTTTTGTCCCCGGATTTGAGACCGCAGGGTGAGGCCCAGCCCAATGCCTCACAAAACCTGGCTGCTCCTGGAGATTTCCAGAATTCCCTGGGGGTCCCCACCGCAGACACAGCTTTGTGCTGAGCCTGTGCTGGTTGGGCTGGGCCCTCAATTGGTGCTGGTTCCTGACATTTCCACCTGTTCCCCCACCTTCCCTGCTCACCCACAAGAGATTGGATGCTTTGGAAGCAGGATGGTCCCAAACACGCCCACAAATTGGCAGTGAATGGTGAAAGGAGCTGGAGAGAGGTGCCAAGGCCACTGAACCTGGAGGAAAGATGGGAAGGTGGCAGAGGCTGACAAGGATTTCACGTTCTCTGCAGTCAGGAGTGGGGGAACAGCTCCCCCCGGGCTGAGAACGGTGCCCTGTGCCAGGGCCAGACCCGATTTCTCCCTTTCCCCAGGTGGGCGCATCCCTGTTTGCCAGCAACGTGGGCAGCGGGCACTTCATCGGCCTGGCTGGCTCGGGAGCTGCCTCGGGAATCGCTGCCACAGCCTACGAGTGGAATGTGAGCGAGGAGAGCAGGCTGCAGCCCCGCCCGAGCCTGCGGGGACACCAGGACCCAGCCCCGGATCCTGGAGCTGCGCTGGGAGCCCCCAGCTGCTGGCACCCAGCTTCTCACCCCATCCCACCTGAGCATCCCATCCCATCCCATCCCATCCCATCCCATCCCATCCCATCCCATCCCATCCCATCCCTCCCCGGAGCACCGGGCTGAGCCTCCCTCCCTCCGTTCCCTTTGCAGGGGATGTTCTGTGTCCTGGTGCTGGCCTGGCTCTTCCTGCCCATCTACATCGCCTCGGGGGTAGGTGTGAGTGTGTGTGTGTGTGCTGTGTGTGTGTCTGTGTGTGTGTCTGTGTGTGTGTGTCTGTGTGTGGGTGTGTGTGTGTGTGTGTCTGTGTGTCTGTGTGTGTGTGTGTCTGGGTGTGTGTGTGTGTGGGTGTGTGTGTGTGTGTGTCTGTGTGTCTGTGTGTGTGTGTGTCTGGGTGTGTGTGTGTGTGGGTGTGTGTGTGTGTGTGTCTGTGTGTCTGTGTGTGTGTGTGTCTGGGTGTGTGTGTGTGTGGGTGTGTGTGTGTGTGTGTCTGTGTGTCTGTGTGTGTGTGTGTCTGGGTGTGTGTGTGTGTGGGTGTGTGTGTGTGTGTGTCTGTGTGTCTGTGTGTGTGTGTGTCTGGGTGTGTGTGTGTGTGGGTGTGTGTGTGTGTGTGTCTGTGTGTCTGTGTGTGTGTGTGTCTGGGTGTGTGTGTGTGTGGGTGTGTGTGTGTGTGTGTCTGTGTGTCTGTGTGTGTGTGTGTCTGGGTGTGTGTGTGTGTGGGTGTGTGTGTGTGTGTGTCTGTGTGTCTGTGTGTGTGTGTGTCTGGGTGTGTGTGTGTGTGGGTGTGTGTGTGTGTGTGTCTGTGTGTCTGTGTGTGTGTGTGTCTGGGTGTGTGTGTGTGTGGGTGTGTGTGTGTGTGTGTCTGTGTGTCTGTGTGTGTGTGTGTCTGGGTGTGTGTGTGTGTGGGTGTGTGTGTGTGTGTGTCTGTGTGTCTGTGTGTGTGTGTGTCTGGGTGTGTGTGTGTGTGGGTGTGTGTGTGTGTGTGTCTGTGTGTCTGTGTGTGTGTGTGTCTGGGTGTGTGTGTGTGTGGGTGTGTGTGTGTGTGTGTCTGTGTGTCTGTGTGTGTGTGTGTCTGGGTGTGTGTGTGTGTGGGTGTGTGTGTGTGTGTGTCTGTGTGTCTGTGTGTGTGTGTGTCTGGGTGTGTGTGTGTGTGGGTGTGTGTGTGTGTGTGTCTGTGTGTCTGTGTGTGTGTGTGTCTGGGTGTGTGTGTGTGTGGGTGTGTGTGTGTGTGTGTCTGTGTGTCTGTGTGTGTGTGTGTCTGGGTGTGTGTGTGTGTGGGTGTGTGTGTGTGTGTGTCTGTGTGTGTCTGTCTGTCTGTGTGTCTGTGTGTCCGAGGGGTGCTGAGCCCCTCGTGCTGCTGCTGCTGCCGGCTCTCAGGGTGCTGCCAGCCCCTGGCCATGAGCAGGGTCCCTCCGAGGAGGGGATGGAGACTCCCCAGCCAGAGCTCATGGAGAGCCCTGTGCCAGCATCACGGCAGAGCCAGCCCAGGGCAGCCCTGCTGCTCCTGACCCGCTGCAAACACCCCCAGAACCCCACGGGGAGCCCCTGGCAGCGCTGGGAATGTCACAGGGGATGTCCCAGGGGATGTCAATGGGAATGTCCATGGGAATGTCCATGGGAATGTCCCAGGGCCCCAGGCCAAGGATGTCACAGGGAATGTCCCAGGGGATGTCAATGGGAATGTCCATGGGAATGTCCCAGGGAATGTCCCAGGGAATGTCCCAGGGAATGTCACAGGGAATGTCCCAGGGGATGTCCATGGGAATGTCCATGGGAATGTCCCAGGGAATGTCCCAGGGAATGTCCCAGGGGATGTCCCACCTTCCCTCCGTGTCTCTCCACAGGTCACAACCATGCCGGAGTATTTGCGGAGACGTTTTGGAGGCAAAAGAATTCAGATATTCCTGGCCATGCTTTATTTGTTCATCTACATCTTCACCAAAATATCTGTAAGTAGTTAAAAAGAAAGGGGAAACTGTTTGGATTTAATTCCCTTTGGAAATGCGTGCTGAGCAGTGAGGATGAGAAACGTGAGGCTTTTCCTGGATGGGCAGGGAAAGGTTTGTGATCAAAACACCCAAGGAAGGATTTTTTGGAGAACCTACACAAAAAGGAGTAGCTTCTTTTTATTTGCTCAGTTAGCAGCTGAATGCTTGTCACAGCAGGAGGGGAAGCCGGTGGCTGAGCAATAGCCCATGGAAAGGTGGGGCTCCGAGGGTGGATGTTAGATTTTGCACCCCTGGCAGCTCCCCCAGTTTGCACATTTATTGCCTGTGCACACAGCAGGTGCTGTTATGGCAGGATGGAGGAGCTGGGACAGGGTTAGAAGAAAATCCTTCATTCCTTTATTGCACCTGTTTGAATAAATAACTGGAGCAAGCCTTGCACAAGAGCTCGGTGGCTGTTCATTAACCGGCAGCCAGGGCACGGAGCTGTGACAACACGCGGCTCCCTGCTGGGGATTTTCCTGTGCACAGAGGACCAGAGTGGGACACGGTTCTGACCCTGCCTCTGAACCTCCCAAAAATGTTCACAAAGGCTTGGAGTGCCAGGACACGGGGAATGGCTTCCCAGTGCCAGAGGCAGGGATGGATGGGACATTGGGCAGGAATTGTTCCCTGGGAGGGCACAGGGTGCCCCTGGATCCCTGGCAGTGCCCCAGGCCAGGCTGGACAGGGCTCAGGGCAGCCTGGGAGGGGCCCCATGGCAGGGGTGGGAATGGGATGGGCTTTAGGGTCCCTTCCCACCCCAGGACTGTATGGAATGGATGCGATCCCGGGCTCAGCTTCTCTGGATCAGTGACCATGTGATGGAATCTCCGATAGTGCAGCTCCTGTGCTCAGGATGCTGTCACCTGCCTGGCCTCCCTTCGCCTGTCCTGCAGCTCTCCTAACCCCCAGCATTTTCACGTAGCTGCAGAGCTGGTTGGGCAGGGCTGGGCCCAGCCCTGGGGACACTTTTCCTGCTCTGTCCCTGTCCCCATGGCAGCAGGGACAGCTCCCGAGGGGAGCTGGGGCTGTGGCAGCTGGGGAGGGGGGGTTTGCTGGGCAGATTCCCCAGTCCTGCCCAGCCCAGCTCCCCACCTTGGGGAAAGAGAGGAACTCACCTCACCCCAGAGCTGTGTACACTCCCCTCTCGTGACAGCCCTGCTGTCCCCTCGCAGTGCCCTGCAGTGTGATAACCTGCACTGTGATCACCTGCAGTGTGATAACCTGCAGTGTGATAACCTGCAGTGTGATAACCTGCACTGTGATAACCTGCACTGTGATAACCTGCAGTGTGATAACCTGCACTGTGATCACCTGGAGTGTGATAACCTGCAGTGTGATCACCTGCACTGTGATAACCTGCACTGTGATAACCTGCAGTGTGATAACCTGCAGTGTGATAACCTGCAGTGTGATAACCTGCAGTGTGATCACCTGGAGTGTGATAACCTGCAGTGTGATCACTGCAGTGCCCAGCAGTGTGATCACCTGCCTGAAGAACACTCCTGGCCAGGGAGAGGCTGGGGCTGCGGGGCCACGAGCGCTTCCAAAGCAGGCTGGGCCCAGTAAAGGGGGTGGTTTGGTGAATGTGCCCACTGGGGGTGGCTGTGACTGCAGAGTGTGGCTGTGCTGTTCTGCAGGTGGACATGTACGCCGGGGCCCTGTTCATCCAGCAGGCCTTGCACTGGGACCTGTACATCGCTGTGGCCGGGCTGCTGGCCATCACTGCCGTGTACACCGTGTCTGGTGCGTGCTGGGGACACTCCTGACCTGCCCCTGTCCTGTCCCTGTCCCTGTCCTTGATCCTGTCCCTGTCCTTGACCTGTCCCTGTCCTTGACCTGTCCCTGTCCTTGACCCTGTCCCTGTCCCTGTCCTTGACCTGTCCCTGTCCCTGTCCTTGACCTGTCCCTGTCCCTGTCCAGTCAGCTGAGACATTCAGGTGTCCCAGGCCAGGCTGGACATTGGGTTTGGAGCAGCCTGGGACAGTGGGAGGTGTCCCTGCCATGGCAGGGGTGGCACTGGAGGGGCTTTAAGGTCCCTTCCAACCCAAACCATTCCAAGACTCCGTGATTCATGCCATGCACTATGTCCTGCTGCCCCAGCAGCCTGATTTTGCCATGAGTGTGGATATTGGGGTGGGAAAGCAATTGAAAACTCACCTTTTTAGAAAAAATTGCCAGGGGAGAGTAAGTGAGCCCTCCTCAGAGGCCACCCCAGGTGGGTGCAGGTCTGCTCTGCCTTAAGGAGAAGCTCTGCCAAGGCATCCTCAGGGAACATTTTCCCTGTTTTCCGGGGCTCTCCGGAGGTGTGAGGGAGGGATTTACACCACAAAGAGCCGTGTAATGCGGAAAGACTCCAGGCTTGGATGCCCTTTCAGGGCTTAGGAGTGGCCAAATGGAAAACAGCCACACAGAAATCCCAAACAAATAAAGGTTATTCCTTTCCCACTGCTCACCCCCAGTGATGTAAAATCACAACCCCTTTTTTTCCCCTCCTCCTTTTTCAGCTTGGGATTTGTTTTAGAGCTTTTCCATGTATTTCCTGTAGAACTACTTCTGCTTTTGGCTTCCAGTGACAAAATGGTGACTCATGATAACCCAGATCCTGAGCAATTCCAAAGTGTCATTGGCCAAAGTTCCCCCCAGCAGGGACAGGACCCCCAGCCGGGCTCAGGGCTTGGCTTGTGCTGCTGGGCAAGAGCTCGAGCAGAGTGTGAAGTGCTCTGAGAGAACAAACCCAGTTCATCCCAGTCTGTGCCCCTCTGCTCTCGCAGGTGGCCTGGCAGCCGTGATCTACACTGATGCCCTGCAGACCCTCATCATGCTCATCGGGGCCGTGTCCCTCATGGTCTTCAGTGAGTTTTCCTGGGGGTTTGGCACTTCAACTTTTGACAGAAGCCTCATCAAGTTAAATATTAGGGAGGAATCCTTCCCTGGGAGGGTGGGCAGGCCCTGGATCCCTGGCAGTGTCCCAGGCCAGGCTGGGATGGTGGGAGGTGTCCCTGCCATGGCAGGGGTGGCACTGGGTGGGCTTTAAGAGCCTTTCCACCCCACCCCAGGATTCTGTGATTCCACAGGAGAGGCAGCACCTGCTCCAGGCAGCAGAGTCTGCTCCTCCCCAGCCCAGTGTGGGAAACAAGAGCTTCTGATTTTTAAGGAATCCTTGTGGAGCATCACCCGCAGTGACCCAGACTGGAATCAGAGTCCTGACCTGGGGGGATGCAGTAACAGCTTCTCATGACCCATTTCAGGTTTTATTGAAGTTGGTGGCCTTGAAGGTTTACAGGCAAAATACTTTGATGCCATTCCCAGCATCCGCAAGGAGAACAGCAGCTGTGGCCTGCCCAGGGGAGATGCTTTCCACATTTTCCGAGACCCTGTGAACTCTGACCTGCCCTGGCCAGGAGTCTTGGTGGGAATGACCATCCCATCCCTGTGGTACTGGTGCACAGACCAGGTGGGTCACTGCTTGTTCCTGTGGTTGGTTGAATCCGGTTACAAACCTGGGGGGTTTCAGCCTCACCTGGACTGATTTTCTGAGGGGTATCATCAGGAAATTATTTTACTTTACCTTATTTTACCATCAGTAAAATCAGATGGCTAAATCCTGAAGAAGGAAAACTTGATATGAGCAACTAAATATTAGTAATCATCTCTATGGAAAAAGGGGTGAGGATGTGTTTGTGTGTTAATCCCGGTCCATAAAGAAGCCTTTTGTTTGTTTGTTTGCTTTTGAACTTAATCCTTTCATTCCTCGTGAAGCACCTGTGAATTTCTTCTTTCACCTTTCCCTCCAAGTGCCAGCATCAGAGCCAGGGATAAAACACCTCCCGCTGTTCCAGTTGTGCTCTTGCTCTCTTATTTAACTCTGTCTGTCTCGGGCTCTGTCCTGCTCCTCGGCCAGGCTTCCCCGCAGGGTCAGGGAAGAACAACAGGAGATCCTGGCCATGGGGAGGTGAGGGTCAGGCCCTGCAGAAGAACAGGAGATCCTGGCCATGGGGAGGTGAGGGTCAGGCCCTGCAGAAGAACAGGAGATCCTGGCCATGGGGAGGTGAGGGTCAGGCCCTGCAGCAGGGTCCTGCCAGGCTCAGCTGGAATGGCACAGGCAGTGCCCTTCTGAAAGGAGCCAGGATCCAAAGCAACAGCTCCAGAGGCACAGCCAAGCTCTGTGATCACCCTCTGAGACTTCCAGAGTTCAGTGGAGATCAAAGTTGGGATCGCTCCATCCCCGCCAGCTCCTGCTGCTGGCAGCCAACCAAACCCATTCCTTCATTCCTAGGTCATTGTTCAGAGGTCCCTCGCTGCCAAAAACCTCTCCCACGCCAAAGGAGGCTCCTTGATGACCTCCTACTTGAAGATTTTGCCCCTCTTTATGATGGTAATGCCAGGCATGATCAGCCGGGTTCTCTTCCCAGGTAAGTGCTGAGGGAGAGATCTCTTCCCTCCCTCTGGCTGAGCCAACTCCACAGAGCTGGAGAAGCCTTTCCTGAACAAGTCCGGAGGTTCCAATGCACCAAATGCCCAACACATGAAGAAATTTTCTTCCAGTTAGGAGCTGGAGGGTGCAGATGCTCCCAGAGCAGCCCCAGACACCGCTGTGCTGAGACAGCCCTGTGACATTGGCTGGAAGCCCCCCAGGCTCTCCAGAGTTTCCCTCAGAAGGCAATTTACAACATTCAGCAGAGGAACTTGTTCAGAGACACTGGTGCTGTGCCTGGGAATGCTGCCTCTCACTCCCCACTGCTTCTTTCAGATCTGGTGGCTTGTGCAGACCCGGAAATTTGCCAAAAAATCTGTGGCAACCCCTCTGGCTGTTCTGATATTGCTTATCCCAAGCTGGTGTTGGAGCTCCTGCCTGTAGGTAAGAGCCTGGTGATGGTTCTGGCCCCGGTGGGGCTGGCATGTGGCATCTGGGAGGGAAGTTCAGAGAGGAAAACAGCCTGGAACTGTCATTTACTGGGGTTTGTGTAGGACAAACACATCACTGTCATTTTAAATCAGAGTTAAAACCAGTTTTAAAAGTCTGTTCTAGCCCACAGAAGACCTCGAGGCCACCCTGCAGCGTTTCTCAGGGTGCCTCTGCTTCTCGTTCGCAGGACTCAGGGGCCTGATGATGTCAGTGATGATCGCAGCCCTCATGTCCTCCCTGACTTCCATCTTCAACAGCGCCAGCACCATTTTCACCATGGACCTGTGGAAACACTTCCGTCCCCGCTGCTCCGAGTGGGAGCTGATGATCGTGGGCAGGTGGGGATGAGCTGGGTCAGAGCCTGGCTGCCAGACACACATCTGGGCACAGCTGCTGGGGTGACCCCGCACAGGCTCGGGCAGCACTGCAGCTTCAGGGCTGTGGGACACCTTGGCCAGAGTCTCTCGCTGAGCAACAGGAAAAGCAGGGCCTGAGCTCACAGGAACGGCCCCTCTGTCTCCCCCAGGGTGTTTGTGCTGCTGCTCACCGTGGTGTCCATCCTGTGGATCCCCCTGGTGCAGGCTGGCCAGGGCGGGCAGCTCTTCATCTACATCCAGTCCATCAGCTCCTACCTGCAGCCGCCCGTGGCCATGGTGTTCATCCTGGGCTGCTTCTGGAGGAGAGCCAACGAGAAGGTACCGACCGCCGGCCCCAGAGCAGCCCCACGCCCTGCCTGGCTGCTGCTCCAGCACAAATCCCCTTCCTTCCCATCCCAGGGAGCCTTCTGGGGGCTGCTGCTGGGGCTGCTGCTGGGCGCCGTCCGCCTGGTGCTGGATTTCATCTACCCCGAGCCCCGGTGCGGCGAGCCCGACGGCCGGCCCGGCGTGGTCAAGTACATGCACTACCTCTACTTCTCCATGGTGCTGGCAGCCGTCTCCACCCTCACCGTGCTCGTGGTCAGCGTGGCCACCGAGCCCCCGGCCCCCGAAATGGTGCGTCACCCTCTGCTCCCTGAGCCCTGAACGCTCCCCAGGCTGCCCCACGCTGCATCCCCGGGCAGAACTAAGCTGGAGATGCAAACCTCTGTTCACTCTTGATTTATGGTCACACCTGTGAGCCCTCCTCTGCTCCAGCACCTCTGCTGCTGTTTCTGACTCGGGGCCCATAAATCCCACCCTGGACACTGGCCAGCAGTAGGTTCTGCCAAGAGCTGTTGTTAAGTTCAAGTGTGTGTGTTTCATCCATCACAAATTAGCCTTTTTCCTCTCTATTTTCCAAGAAATTCCAGCTTCTGGGTCACCTTTACCAACTCTCTTACTAACTTAGCGAGGAAACATTTTTACTCGCAGAAAAGAGAAACCCAGGGCAGAGGGCACCTCTCCTCTGGAGCAGGTTTGTGCCAGTTTGACTGTTTTCTGTACATGTCGTGGTGCTGAGGCTGCAGGAAGGCACTGAGAGCAGAAAGGGGGGGCAGGGGGGGTTCAGAGCTCACACAGCACCACATCCTCTTGCTTCAGGACAGGAGTAACCCCAAACTGAGAAATCCCCAGCAAGGAGATGCCCAGAGGTGTGTGATCAGTCCAGAGCTCATCTGCACTCCCTTGTAACCATTTTCCTCACCTCCAACCTGAATCTTTCCAGCTTTGCGTGGTGCTCATCCCTCTCTATCCACACTGCCATTGAGAACACCCCTCTATAACCAGTCTTTTAGATATCTGAACAACAAACCTCCTATTTCCCACCTGCTGTCTCTCCTCTCAGCACCCCCACTTCAAGCCAGCCCTCCCTGGCCAGAGTTTCTGTTCTTTTTGCTCCTTGCTGACCCATCTGCACCCAGGGACGGCTGCACAGCGAGCTGTCCCCTCGCTACAGCCCCTGCACAGCGAGCTGTCCCCTCGCTACAGCCCCTGCACGCTCATCCTGACGTGGAGGACGAGCAGCTTTGGCTGCTACAAACCCACAGAGGCTCCTGAGCTGCTCCCTGCTGCCTGTCCCAGGGCAGGAGGGTGAATTTTGGCCGAAGCAGATTCCTCACCACCGCTCTTCATGCCATCAGATAAGTCGTCTCACCTGGTTCACCCGTGGGGACCCTCTGCCCAAGCAGGAGCTGGCAGCCAAGGACCCGGCCACGCTGCAGCTCGAGCTGAGCCCTGCTCCCGACAATAGTTCAGATGATAACAAATGTAAGTGTTCGTGCTCAGTAACCCCCCACCTCACAGCCCCTGGCGTTCCTGACAGCCTGGGAGACAAGGAATGTTAAAACTCCTTCCTCTGGAATTCTGTAGCTTCGGGGTGTGCCGAAAGAATGATAGAATTAAAGAACAGAGAAAATGCTGAGTTGGGAGGGACCCACAGGGATCAGCCAGTCCCACCCCAGGCCCTGCCCAGACCCCCAACATCCCACCCTGGCCATCCCTGGAGCGCTGTCCAAAGGCTCCTGGAGCTCTGGCAGCCTCGGGGCTGTGCCCATTCCCTGGGGAGCCTGGGCAGTGCCAGCACCTCTGGGGGAAGAACCTTTCCCTAAATCCAGCCTGAGCCTGCCCTGGCCCAGCTCCAGCCGTTCCCTGGGTGCTGTCCCTCAGGAGGAGCTGCAGAGCACAGTGAGGTCTGGCCTCCATCTCCTCAGGGGGAAAAAGGCTTTACCTGATGTTCTGCCTAAGCAGGGGTTCAGTTTCTTTTCCAGCTCTCTCTGGCATTACAAAAGCTTGAAACAAAGGAGCTGCACGGGATGCAGAGCCATGGCCACTGTCCCGTGGCACCTGCTGCCAGGACTGGCTGGGACAGGGAGTGTGGAGGAAAACACAATAACGTCGATGAAATTCCCTTTTCTGTGCTCTCTGCTCGGCTCTAGCAGCAGGGAGAACCCAGAGCCCTGGGCTGAGCTCCTGGCAGATGAGTGGAGGAGGATGTGCATTTTTTAAAGCTTGTACTTGGCACTGGGTCCAGCCCTGTGCATTCTGCAGCGATGATTCTCAGCCCTTGTTTCTGCCAGGCTCAGGGCCCTGTTTATGAAACGCTGCAGCTTTTGCTGCACGTTCCTTTGATCTGTAACAAGCTGCTGCGAGTTAATGAGTTACGCTGCAGCTCTCCTGCTGCTGGGGTGTCCCACACTTGTTGGACACGAGCGTTGCCAGAGTTAAATGATGCGTGTCCCAAGCACTGGGAATGTCCAGTTCGGAGGTGTGGCAGGGATGGACCAGAGCAGCCTTGTCTGGGGAGGCTGGGGGGCACCGAGCAGCCACAGCTCAGACTTTAGGTTTGGTTCATCGTTACCATGGATTAAAACGCTGGGAAGAGCAGGAGCTGAGCTCCAGGGAGGATGGAACTGGCGCTGCTGGCCGAAGGGCTCCAGTGCAGCGTTCAGAGACCCCGGGCACTCCTGTCTCTGCTGCCTCACCCCCCCGACTCTCGTTGCAGGTGCGGCCGAGGCCAAGGGGAGCTCGAAGCTGCTGAGCACCTTCCTGTGGCTCTGTGGGATGGAGAGCAGGCAGGAGGGTGCTGAGAACGTGCCCAAAACAGAGCCCCTGCCCGTGGCTTCCCTGGAGGAGAAACCGCTGGTGAAACACATCCTGAACATCAACCTGCTGCTGTGTGTGTGTGCTGGAGTCTTCCTCTGGGCATACTTCGCATAGCCAGGGGATGCCACCCCATACTACATCAACTAATCCTAACTGGTGTAAATATTAATGATTAGCAGAGGGTTAGTGTCATTCCTAATGCTTTCTAAATTTTATTTCTTTATTTAAGACATTTTAAAGACATAATATTTTCCTTATTTCTAATGGGGGCCTGGCTGTGCCTAGGGCCGAGCACTTGGCACTGGCACCGTCAGACCCTGCCTGGCACCAACCAGCTGAGGAAGGTTGGTTTGGTTATTTTAAATATTTAATTTTGCTCTTTGGCCTCAGAGCACTGCCTGGAACTCAGGAAAGCCTGGATTCTCCTCCTATTTATGCCTCTATAACCAGCTACGACCACTTGGGTCCCTTTGGTTCAGCTCCTCTGGCCTTGAGGGACAAGTGACACCTCGAGTGGCCGGAGCAGAGCCAGGGGCTGCTGTCTGGGCTCTGCTGTGCCTGTTCAGCTCCTTCCCCGTGTGCAGCGAGTGCTGCTGGGCCTGTCTGGGAGCTCTGGCTGAGTTACCACCACTGACACTCCAATGGCAACACCAACACCAGCACCCGGCCTGGAAACTGCCCCAAAACTGCTGCTGGAGGCAGCTGAAGGACCAAAACCAGCCAAAGCCACCAGGTGTGCCAGGGCAGAGGTGGCCAGGGACAGCCCCTCGTGGCCTGGGCACCCCCAGCCGTTCTGGGAGCGCCTCAGTGGAGAAGCCGGGGCTGGGGCCATCCCTGGGGCCTCGTGCAGCTGCAGAGAAACATTAAAGAGTGAGAGCTGCTCCCTGCCTGCCTGGAGTCTGTGGGGATGGGAGGGCTATCACGACCTCTGGGCCACACACCCACGTTGGGAGGCTCCTCCTGGAGCCCCTCAGCTGCCCTGCACAGCCTGCTCCCCCTCCCCAGGATCCATAAATACTGCAGGGTCCCAGCAAACCTCACCCCAGAACTGACAGCACTGCCTGGGCAAGGAATGCCTGGAAACCTGCAGCAGTCCACAGAAACAGAAAATAACTCTTGTTAAACCATAAAAAGGGAATTGGCACCTGGGGATCCTTCCTGAGCACGTGAAGCGCTGTTGGAAAGCCTGGGGGAGAGAGGCACGGCACAGTTTGGGGGATAAACATGGAAATCAGTCACAGGACGAGTCTGTGGCTCACCAAACTGAATTTAGAGTTACAAAGGTTTGTTACAGGGCTGGTGTGGTGACAGAGGAAGGTCCCAAAGTGCTCCCACTGAAGTCCTTCAGGGAAAACCAAGCTGAGCAGCCAGTGACTCCAAGCTACACAGTCCAGGGGATCGCTGTGACCTTCAGGCCCCAGTGGAAGCAACAAAACTAGAATAAAGATGCCTTAAGTTGACAAAAACCAATCTTTAATTTTATAAATGTTCACTCAACTGCTGAATCCTTACAGCTGTTTCAAAGTTCTTTCAAAATTCAACCGTTTTCAACAAAAGCACAAACCCCATTTCCACGGTTTCCTCGTGAAACAGTTGCCAGTTGCACATGAACAAAGCAGGTTAATACAAATAACTATGAAATCAGGGTAAGTACTGATCCTAAGTAGCAATGAAATGATTAAAGAGACAGGAAGATCCTCCTACAGCACGACAGTCCTTCAAGGCACGGGATGCATCCACAGTTCCACAGGGTGACTGAGAACCAGCAGTCACCACCAGCACTGGGGCAGGGTTTGCTTCATGGCTTGAGGGGAATCTGCAGCAAATCCGAGAGGGAATGGCCCTTGGGAGGCAGCTCCTGGTACGGGCTAAGAACTACACATAACCTCTAACCGTGCCGTGGGAAGGATTATTTCCCTACTACAGACATGCACTTTAAATAACTAATGTTCTGCTTCTTATTCTTCTGGAATTTCTGCTAATACCACCTGTACCAGCACTGACCACGCTTCCTAGGCGAGTTCCTGCAGGAATTCATTCCTTCCATCCAAGAGTTTGAAAACCGTTGTCCAGACCCAGATCATTAAACTTCTTCTGAGGGCGAAACCGGAGCTCGGCCAAAGGCTGGGCTCGATTTTCTGCGAGGTCTTCTCCAACCTCAGCCATCCTGGAGATCCCTGTCCCCACCAGGCTCCAGTCCCAGCTCCACACCGTTGTGCCACGTTGCCAGAAGAAGCTTTTCCCTGTTAGGTCTGAGGCTTTCCCCCGGGAGAGGAGCGCGGGGAGGGCGGAGCGCTGCGCTCACAGCGCCGTGCTCTCCGTGTCATTGTCAATGTCCAGCAGGAGGTGGTTGTGCAGCTCTCTGCCCGCCGGCTCTGCAGGAAGCTCTGGAGGAGGGTTTGGAGGTGGCTCTGGAATACTGGAATTAGAGTCTGCACAAAAAGGGAACAGCAAGTTTAGCAGCCGGGCCAGGGCCGGCTCATTGACTCGGCAATTCCTGCGCATTTCCTTAGACAGAGAAGGGAAAGCAAAGATCAACGCAGGCTCCTGGAACTGAGCTGGCCCCAAAGGGCTGAGCCCAACTGAACAGCTCGGATTGCTCCTCCTACAGACCCTGCTTCAGTCCTGGACAGAGTAACAGAAACCCACTTCTTCCTGAAGGAGGGAGGACAGATCTGATTTAGGATCAGATTCCACAGTGCCCCTGGAGAGCTACTCTGGACTTTCATGTCAAAACACTCAGCAAAAGAACCTGGCACCTAAATCATCCACTAGGGAACACCACCCGTGCCTTGGAGAAGCAACAGGAACGAGGATGGTGGCAAAAGGAGGCAGAAGTTATTCACACCAAGTGCAGATCAAACCTCTCTCCTGTGTAAACAGGGCATGTCATGGTCTTTGCCTCTTCTGAGGAGAGGACTTTGTTCAAGCCAAGGTGTCCAAGAAGGATCACAAAATGCTGCATCTCTGGTGACTGACTGCCCTGGCAGCTAGGATGATCACACCAGAAAAATCCCTAGCAGCTCAAAAAAAGGTAACTGAACATCTTGTCAGGATTTTGGAAAGCTGATTTATAATATGCCATGACATCCCTTACTGCAGTCCAGCAGCTGCTCCACACAGGAAGTAATTTAGATAACTTAAATCAACAGAAAATCCAAATAAAAGCCTTGTTTTCAAGCACAGGAGGTGCAGACAGGCATCCTAGAGAGACTGGGACTCGTAACTCAAGCATGGAGTCCTGAAGTTAACCCAGAAGTTACTGGTCGAAGGTTGCTGAGCTGAATGACCTGGAAGGAGGGAAAGCAGCCCCTGCCCTGCTCCTGAGCCCCAGCCCCACGCAGCCTGCAGGGATCTGTGTCCTGGGATGCTGCAGGGACCAGCTGCAATCCCATCTCATCTGGCCTGGCACTCGGCAGGAAACTAAACCACAGAATCCCAGAATGGTTCGGACTGGAAGGGACCTTACATCGCATCCCATCCCACCCTCTGCCACGGCAGGGACACCTGCACTACCCCAAACCCCTGGGGGCTGCTCTGGGATGCTGTGACACGGGGAGGGAGCGTTGTGACACAGGACAGAGCAGTGACATCGGATACACAGCGAGCCTCTGCACGGAACACAGCAGCTCTGGGTTCTCCGTTCATGGAGACAGCACAAGGTGAGAGTGGCCAGGAGACACCGAGAGCTTCACATTCTGCTCTCCGAGGCTTTAGTGGGTTAATGGAGCAGCAGCAGCCCCTCTCTGGCCATGCCCGAGGGACACACACAGCAGGGCACTGGGGGTTAGTAGTTAGCACACAAATCATTAGCAATTAGCAATTAGCAACAGTGTCGGCCAATCAGGGGCCTGTTCCTTACCATTGCACTTGCCAATACAGTTCCTACTGAATGCTGGTCAAACATCTGGATTATTTAATAAAACCTTTGATTAGAATATTCTAGGGCTTCTTACTTTTACACCATAAATAGAATTTGAGGCATTCCTAAAGTCCAGTACATGGACAAAGGAGTATCCTGAGAACAGTTCAGAATTCCTGCTCAGGGATTATTATGAGGTTTGCTGCCACCTTAATTTTGTTCCCTCATTCCACTCGTTAAGGTTCAATTAAAAACAGCAGTTGCACACTGTGAATTAGGGAGTCTGTAAGTGCTGGTATGTGCAGGTGTGAATATTAGAACAGACACTCTTATGTGGCAGGTGGTGGTGTTAATTCAGATTATTAATCCTTTAAAAACACATTGATCTGGGAAAGGTGGATGCTTTAGTATGGAGTGTACTGCTGGAGGTGAGCCTGAGTGTCACTTCAACCCCTCCCCAAGTGGATTTTAGCTAAACAGGCTGGATCTTCTGGGTCCCTTGACCAGTTTTGGAGAGAATCCTCCCTCAGGAGCTTTCCTTTCCCAGTTCCATTTCCAGTTTCCTTTCCCAGCTCCATCCTGTGTTTACAGCACACAGCTGGGCCACTTTGCTCTGCTCTGCAATCCCCTCTGGCAGGTGCCATTCAATTCTGGTGAAGCAGCCCCAGCTAGATGTTAATTACAAGACAAGGATTTCTCCCATTACACTGGGGTAAAACAAACCCTCCCTGTCTGCTGTCATTGAAGCAATTTCCTCAGAACCAGGAAAACCCTAAAGGGAAAATAAATATGGTCCAAACTATGAAACACTTGGAAATTTAGATTAAGTCTTTCCCTGAATTTTGACTCATTAGCACAGCTGCTGCTGTTAACTTCATTGTAAAGTGCTGTCAAGATTCAGAGCCCAGCCTCACTTCTGACTTCAGCCTGGGAATAAATTATCCTCATATTTTAAATATACTGACAAAAGTACAGTCAGGAGAAGTCAGTTATTTTAAAAATCAAAGCTACTTTTTAGCTGCTTAAGCAGCTCATTAACTGCTGGTTTTATTGTGGAATCCCACCAGGGGCAGGGACCCCTCCCACCATCCCAGGCTCCTCCGAGCCCCATCCAATCTGGCCTTGGACATTTCCAAGGATCCAGGGGCAGCCACAGCTCCTCTGGGCAACCTCTTTCTCCAATTAACAAAACCCCCCAAACCTAAATGATTTCCAGGCTGATCTCTCAACCCAACAGTGACTCCAGCATCCT